GTGGTGGTTATACACATGCATGCACGGGATGCACGCATGCACACAAGGCATGCTCCCTCGCCACCCTGCACTTTCACCTCCTTCTCTCCCACTCCCCTTCCCCGCTGCAGTGGATGGTGCGGCGGTGGGCCGACAGGCTGGGGTGGCGCGAGGCAGAGCGGCTCATGGAAAGCAACAACGCTCGCCCCGTCTTCTCCCTCAGGTGAGACTACTTCTGTGGTGCCCCTATAGAACGTCTTGCTTTAGAGGCGCCTCAAAAGCCGACAGACTTTTGAGTCGACTCAAAACGAGATGACTTTTGAGTCGACTCAAAAGCTACTTCTGTGGTGCCTCTATAGAACGTCTTGCTTTAGAGGCGCCTCAAAAGCCGACAGGCTGGGGTGACGAGAGCCAGAGCGGCTGATGGAGAGCAACCCCTCAACGCCCGCCCTGTCTTCTCCCTCAGGTGCCCAGCCTCTAAGCTTTGTAGACTTCCGTTCCAAAGCTATGCTCCCACTCGTTTTGCAGGCTTCTAAACCATGACACTTGTGATTTTTTTCCCCCTCTCTCACTCAGCTCCCTCCCCCTCCCGTTCTAATTTTCCTCTCTGCCCCTTCTACCAGCATATTAATCCCCCCCCGTCCCCCCCTTCTCTCCCAACACTGCCATGGCCATGCATGAGGGCCAACAGTGCAAGAAGTCATCAGACAGAGCACCAGAGTGCTGCAGTTTCCAGAAGTCCATGGTCCATTACCACCATGACCATGCGTCAGGGCCAACGCTGCCAGAGGTCATTGGACAACAGCACCTAGGACTGCAGCGCCTAGGACCTAGTCTATGCAAGTTGCTCTCTCTCCCCCCTCTCCCCCTCTCCCCCTCTCCCCCTCTCTCTCCCCCTCTCCCCCATCACCACCACGACCATGCATCAGGGCCAACACTGCCAAAGGGGTATCGCGATCCGATCTGCACTCCTTGCTGCTGGCGCTCCCTGAGGTAAACTGCTTCACCTGATGCCTTCTCCGTGCCAGCTCATTCCGTCTCGTGCCACCTCATGTCATCACTATGCCAGCTCGTGCCACCTCATGCCACAACCATGCCAGCTCGTGCCAGCTCATGCATGCTCTTGCGAGTGCTTTCATGTGTCTACATGTGTGTGTGTTCACCTGCCCGCCTCTCTCACCAACCAACCACAGGTGGAGATGGAGGATTCATCATACCTGGACGATCTCGTCCGCGTGCGTGCGGGCATGCAGCATGTTCTTACAGCAGGGCTCATAGGGTCTGTCTGTGTCCATGTGCGTCTACGTGTGTGTGTGTGTGTGTGTGTGTGTGTGTGTGTGTGTGTGTGTGTGTGTGTGTGTGTGTTTTCGTACCACTCTCAACAACCAACCACAGGTGGAGGTGGAGGATTCACCGTACCTGGACGATTTCATCCGTGTGAAAGCGGGCATGCAGCATGTGCTCACAGCGGGGCTCATAGAGGACGGCTCGTGCAACGTGCAGGATGAGAGTGCAGGTGGGGTGCAGGTAACCAGGTAGCCAAGTAACCAGGTGGGGATGACGGGTGGGGGAGTGCAGGTGGGGAAATTATGGTAATTAGGTAATGCAGCATGTGTGTTCACAGCAGGGCTTATAGAAGATGGGTCGTGCAACGTGCAGGATGAGAGTGCAGGTGGGAGTGTGATGGGTGCATGTAACCATGTAACCAGGAGAAAGTGCAGCATGTGCTCACTATAGCGCCCATAGAGGATGAGAGTGCAGCACAGGATGAAAGTGCAGGTGGGGGAGTGGTGGTGGACCGTGGAGGGGTGCTGGTGCCGAAACCAGGAGAGGCGGTGCTGGACTGCTGGTACCGCCTCTCCTGGTTGTGGCACCGCCTCTCCAACTTCCAAGACGTCTCAACCCCCCACCCTCCCCTCCCCTGTCTCGCCCTCTCCGCTACCCCCTGTGACTACAGGGTTGGTGGTGCGAGTGTTGGATCCCCAGCCAGGGGAGACGGTGGTGGACTGCTGTGCTGCGCCGGGGGGCAAGGCTATGTATGCCGCTGGGCTCATGCAGGGGACAGGTGGGTCATGGAAGCAAGGTGTGTGCGATCATGGGTGTGTGCATGCTTGCTACACGTCATTGCCATAACTCACCACCACTGGTACATCGCATTTCATCTCATCTTGTCACATAGCGTTATATCTCACCTCATCCCTCTCTCACCTCTCACGTCTCCCGTCTCCCCTTTCCCCTCCCCTCTCTCGATCCCTCCCCTCTCTCGATCTCTCCCCTCTCACCGGCAGGGCGGCTGGTGGCAGTGGATGTGAACGAGGGGCGAGTGCGCATGGTGGCGCAGGCAGCACAGCGGCAAGGGCTGCAAAGCACAGTGGAGTGTGTCGTTGCTGACCTACGGTCCTATGCGGTGAGCCACACACCTGTGCTGGGTTGTGTACGATGTAGAGGTGTGCTGTGCGGTGCAGTGTGTCGTTGCTGACCTACGGTCGTACGCGGTGAGCCCCATGTATCCACTGCACTGCCTTGTTCTGTAACGCTGTGTAACGCATGGATACCATGGGCAGAATCCATTTCCTCTATTCTCCCTTTCCCGTGTGTAGTGAGTCGATTTTTGAGTCGATTTTTGAGTCGACTCAAAAATGGATACCATGGGCAGAATCCATTTCCTCTATTCTCCCTTTCCCGTCCCCCAACCCCCCGCACCCCCCTTCCCCACCAAGGCCCAGGCCCCCATCCAAGCGGCATGACCGCTGCATGTGGCAGCAGACAGAGTGCTACTGTATGCACCTTTGTAATTATCGAATGTGACTATAACAACGTCCTCACCTCCATTTCCGTCCCGGCACCCGCCTTCCCCACCCTACCCACCCACCCCACGCAACCCCCCCAACAGGCGGCATGCCCCCTGCGTGGGGCGGCAGATCGAGTGCTGCTGGATGCCCCCTTGAGAGCTCTCATAAGTGATTCATTCAAACTTCTTCCTTCATCCCCTTCCGTTCCTCCGGTACCTCCCCACCCCACCCCACCCCACCCAACCGTTTCATCCAGGTGTCATCCCCCCTGCGTGGGGCGGCAGACCGAGTGCTGCTGGATGCCCCCTGCTCCGGCCTTGGAGTGCTGGCCAAGGTGGGCATGGGGAGAGGTGACTGTAAGCAGTGGTGATTGTATGAGGAGGAGAGCGAGGGGATATGTGATTTTAAGGAGTGCTGCTGGATGCGCCATGCTCTGGCCTTGGGGTGCTGGCCAAGGTGGGTGGGCCGAGATGAGTCGCGGCGAGGTGAATGGGGGGAGAGAGAGGTGCTCGTAATGTAAGGTGAGTGTAAGCTGAGCTGATAGCTGGTAGATGTTAACAATGTGACTGAAGCAGAAGGCAGAAGTGGTGCACACAGCACAGGCCACCAGGACTGAGCACACGACACATGCTGACAGTTTCTACCCCACACACGGTAACAGATTCTACCTTCACCTCTCACACTGCTGGCCTTATCTCGTGCCCCGTTACCATCAGCCATCCCCCCCCCCCCCCCTTCCCCCCCCTCACAGAGGGCGGATCTGAGGTGGAGGCGGACAGTGAGGGGGAGGCGCAGCTCACAGCCCTACAGGACGACCTGCTGGATGCTGCTGCCAGGTGGGGTGCTGACGTGGATGCTGCTGCCATGTGGGGTGCTGACGTGGATGCTGCTGCCAGGTGGGGTGCTGACGTGGATGCTGCTGCCAGGTGGGGTGCTGACGTGGATGCTGCTGCCAGGTGGGGTGCTGACATGGATGCTGCTGCTGTTGCTATGTAGGATGCGCATGTCACAGAGGGAGGCGACACTAACGTGACGTGACTTCCGCCGCTCTCCCCATCCTCCCTCTCCGTGTCCCTCCAACTTTCTCTTTTTCTACACACAACAACCCCCTCCCCTCCATTCTCCCCCTCCCCCTCCCCCTTCCTTCGACCGCCACCTTGTTGACCAGTTTGGTGCGGCCGGGGGGGCTGTTGGTGTATTCCACATGCTCCATAGAGCCATCGGAGAACGAGGACAGGATCACCACCTTCCTGCAATCACACCATGTATGACTCTTGCTCATCCCCGCTCTCCGGTATCATTCTGTGTGGGATCTAAACTTTTCCAAGTGTTGTTGCTGGTTTGATTCTTTTTTCCTACATACTCGTCGCCAGTGCGTCATGCTGAGTAGTAGCAAGCATGTGGCATGCTGAGGTGTCTTACTGAGTCATGTCTGTCGTTTCATTCAGTTGAATGTTAAATCGTCTCATTTTTTGTGCTCATGCGGGGTAGCCAAATCTTTCTTCCATGCCTGCAGGAGTTTGTTTTGGAGTCACTAGATGCGTCAGTATTGCCCGAATCGATGATCTCACGCCTTCGTTGCTTTGCATCACTACCGCACCGCCACGCAATCGACGGGGCATTTGCTGCTCGTTTACGAAGGCGGGAGTTGTGATATTAGTGTTTCCTTGGTATTGTCCTTGGGTTATATTTGTCAGATGTTGAGAGGAAGCCATAGAGAGTACAAAACGGAAGAATGCTGGTCATATATTAACATACATTCGCATGTGCTGTACTGAACTGCAATAACGAGCTACGGAGGTTTGTGAGGACGGGGTACCGTACCCCAGGGCAGTGGCTATGGTGTTGCTAAACTGCAAACTGGGCACCCCGAAACTTGCAGCTTTCCGCTGTCCACTTTTCTTGTCGGGAGGGAGTCCCTTTTGCAAACGCCGCCTTTTGGCCGTAGCGTTGACAATTTTCGAAAGCCCCGGGCAACAATGGGACGGATAAGGGCATGTCCGAAGTGACATGTCGATGGATGTCGACGGATGTCGACGGATGTCTGGGTAGGTAGGTGAGAATTTTCAGGCCGGCGTTGTGTCCGAAGTGATTCGACATCCATCCGACATCCATCCGACATCCATCCGACATCCAGCCCTGCGTAATCATTACAGTCAAGGGTGCCGCCAACAGTGATATCGGGCTGGTCAACGAGGAAGTCAACGAGCCCAATTTTTGATAGCAAAATTTGAGGGGGAAACCTGGCGAAAGTAACAGTGGGTAAACGACAGCCCTTGTGACTTGCACGGGGTGACGAAAAGTTCGCGAAATTCGTTAGATTCAAAATTGAACCTTCAATATTCTCTCTGGTCTGCCCTTGCTGGCGCCAACAGTGCCGGACGGCATTGTTTCGGGCAGTTATGTCGCCGGCAGTGTGTCCGAAGTGCCTCGACATCCATCCGACATCCATCCGTCATCCCCCGGTCATCCGCCACAGACATCCGTCCGATGACGGATGAATGACGGATGGATGTCGAAGGGCACTTCGGAATGTGCATTCCATCCCCTGCTGTCGCTGGAACGCGTTTCGCCTACTTTCCCCTCGAGTTTTTGCCAAGTTACCCTCAACCACCTTGGGTACACCGGGCGCTCGAGTGCGCATCGCCAGGAAGGGACTGGGTGTAGATCGAAGACTTGTCCCGCCAGCAGCCTCGCGCTGACCACAGGCCACACATGCCACATCAGAACGCGACGCATTGACTAATCACTTGTCGCCTTCCCTCGCGCGGAGAAACCGAGGCCGGGCTATCTCATCCGCCAATCCTGCACCGCGCGGGTCATCTTTCGTACCGCGCGCAACCTTGGGATTTCGAGGGACTGTTCATCGGGGCTTCCGCATTCTTTTGGGACTTGCCGGGGTTCCTCCTCCTCTCTCTTCTGCCCCACAGCCAGCGTTACCTTCCACTCCACCACGTCACTCCCTGTGCCTCGGCGAGGTAGGCGAGCCACCTGGACCCGAGACGTCAAGACGGACTGTGTAGGGAAGCGCATCCCGCGCGTGGTTTTCCTGTCGAGTGTCGTTCGTTGACACCAGAGCTTGAGTTGAGCGTGGTTTTCTTCACTCTCCGAAATTGTTAGGCACTATTCCTGATTACGAGACCTAAGTGTCGGGCTACTTCTAGTCGCATTTCTCTGGTCCGGTTTTATTTCTTCAAAGCGTAGTATTTCTTTTCTGGCAATGGACGCGTCGTCGCAGTTTTTCCGTCAGGCAATTGAGCAACGCTCGTCGCCTCCCTCGCTGCCTGACTGCAAGGCATGTAGATGATACGAGCCGCCAATCGCAGCAGCATCAGTCTTCACAGCAACAATCCTAGCCCTTAAATAGAGCGCTTTGGGAGGTAATTAGTAGCATTTTGATACGGAAAATAACAATGCTGCCACGTCTCTAAGGTCCCGTACCCCTAGTCCGTAAATCACTACCTCGAAATCTACTTACGTTAATTTAAACACTTAGACTGATCGTGAAGCTTCATTATTTTGTCGTTTTGCTGGGAAGCTTGGCTGAGGAAGGATAACATCCTGGCATCTGCTGTAGCTGGCAATGTCGTGCCAGGGATTGGCCATGCTTGATCCTCCTAGAGACAGGCAGGGCTTTCCCGAAGCTGCAGGACGCGGGGATTTTGTAGGTTCGGGGACAAAGCGGAGGAGGTTCGGCGAGAGGAGGAGCAGGTTCGAGGGGGAGAACCGACTCCGCCTATGGAGTCGGGGACGGAGGCGGAAGCGGAGAAGGAGGCGGAGCAAGCGGAACAGGACCTCCTGCATTGCCCGCGCGCGGAGGAGGTCGAGTGTCCGCTATCCGCAGCTTCTTTCCGCGCAGCCGGTCGGTGTCCGTGGATTATTCCGCCTCTTCCTCCTCTCCTCTAGGTATCCCCGGAAGCAGCGCCAGCTCCAGGCGCAACTCCGAATCCGAAGATCCCCGCCGTCCTCCCCCCTCGGGTCCCCTGGGGGGCAGCGCGGCGGGGGAGGCGGAACACGGCGGGGGACCCGCGGCAAAGCGTCCCGACCTCCACCGCGCTACGATCCGCGCATGGGTCGGCATTGTTCCCCCCTCGGCGGTTCCGCGCTGTCCCCCGCTCCCCGCCCCCCATCCCCGCTTCTCGAGTTCATCGCTCCCCGTCTCAGCAATCCAATCAGACCCTAGCGCCACCGCCGCCGGCGGCGATGGAGTATCCGGGAGACCAACGAACAGTTCCGTTCAACAGCTGCGGTCGAACCGCCACCTACGCACACATTCGGTCGACGTATCGTCCATCGATTTTCGCCTTCCCACGTTCCCGATCAAGGGGGGCTGGAGGCGCATGGGGCACCGGGCGCAGCGGAAGGAGTCGGCGCAAGGGGAAGCGCGGGGGAAAGGGCAGCGGGCCCGCCACCAAAGTCCCCCTCGGGGTTCAGATTAGGGTTTGGGCTGGGTATTCGCCCCAGCAGCAGCCACGGCGGCCGCCCCAACACTAGCCACGGGCGCTTGGGAGGCGGAGCAACGTCGGCGAGACCGGGAAGCGGGGGAAGCAGACCGGGAAGCGGCGGAAGCAGACTGGGAAACGCGCCGAGGGGAACGGCGGTCCGGAGCAGAGTCAGGGGCGGGGCGGGCGGGCGCACGCGCGGCGGGCGTCAGTGGACTTCGGGTCGATGGGCGCAGGTATCCCCGCTTCCGCCAGTGAGCCGCTATCCCCGTTTGAAGCAGCCAAAGCGTCGCTCTTTGCGAGTCAGCAACGCCAGCGGGCTGGGATGGGGGGAGGGATGGCGGAAGGGATGGGGGGAGGGGCGGGCGGAGGGGTACCGAGGCGCAGCAGCGTCGACGGCTCCGGGCGCGCGATTGAGTCCCCCCGGTCAGCGGCCAGGCGCGGGCTGCAGTACGGGTTCGGTTCGGATAACCGCGGAATGGAGGTTCGGGCTGAGGCTCGGAGCCCTATAATGCTCGGAGCACGCGCTCGGCACAGGCTCTCCGCAGGTTCGGACTCTGTTGATTCAGGTGGGAGCGAGTCTCCTGCGTTTTCACCTGAGGGTTCGGTGTCCCCGCATGGGGGGGCGCTGCCGGGGAGCAGGAGGCACGGGAAGCGCGCCGATGGGGGGATTCGCTGGGGGGATGGGGGGTGCGCTGTCTAGCTGGGGAGCTAGGCGCGCGGGGATCAACCCGCCGCGGCTGCAGGTGGAGGTTCACGCGGAAGAAGAGGAGGGGGAGGGGGAGGGGGAGGAGGGGAATGTGTATGTGGTAGATGAGGAGGAGGACGAGGGGGAGGAGGGGGGTTCGAAGGACGCACTGTCCCCACTACCAGGAGCAGAGGGGAGAACGACAAAATCGCCCGCCCACAGCGGGGAAGAGCAAATCGCCTCTCAAGTCCCGGATAGCCGCAGTGGCGCGGACCTTAAAGCACGGGCTGCACAGCCCCGCGGCTGGCGCCATGGGGGGAATCGGAGGCAGGTTCCGCGGGGGGGGAGGTGGCATGGGGATGGGGGGGATCGCGGGGGCGTTGGGCGGAGGGGGAGGCGCGGAAGCGGGAGGGGCTGGCGCGGGGGGTAGCCGCAGGCACAGGCGCGCAATTTCGGTGGATTTCAACCAGGCGCCGGTGTTCACCGCGGCTTCCCCCGTGGGGGGCCGGCGGAAGGGGCGGAGCCAGAAGAGGGGGATCTCTCGCTGTCCCTCTCCCCCCCCCACGCGCTATACGCCTCTGGCGGCGCGGACCCCGTGTTTGACGCTATGTCTCCCCGCCTGCTCACCCCCAAGGGTTTCAGCACTGGGTTCGGCGCCGCTGCTGGCCCCGGGCCTGCTGGCTCGGGGCTGCTAGGTTCGGCAGCGCCAGGCTCGGGCGCTGCTGCAGTGGCTGGGCGGCAGCTGGCCGGCCAGCACCGCCGGCACCACTCGTTCGCGGACCAATCCTGGGCGGCAGGGGGAGGGGGGATGGGGAGGGGCAGGGGGAGGGGGAGCAATAGAGTCCCCCAGGCGGATGGGGAGCGGGGGTGGGCGGGCCAATTCTTCCTCCGCGCAGCCCTTTAACCATGGGGGGAGGGGGCAGCGGGGCGTGGGGGGATAATTTTAACATAGGGGAATTTACCCCTTCTGCTTTGCAATCACCCAAGCCCCCGCGCTCGCCTTTCCACAACGAATTCTCTCAAGACAGGGCAGCAGCCGCTGCCGCCGCCTCCGCCGCGGGGAGCGCTGCTGCTGCTGCTGGCGCAGGCCAGCTGCCCCTCACGCCTGGGCGGAACCGTGCGCTGGTAGCTGCGCGCGGAGGCGGGGGAGGCGGAGGGGCGCTGATGCGGGGCAGCGCGCGGGAGCGGCCGTCCCCTGAAATGGACGAGGAGGACGACGTGTGGGGCGCTGCTGCTGCAGTAACAGGGGGAGCAGGGGGGGCAGGGGGGGGCAGGGGGGGGTGAGAGTGGGGGGGGGCGCGTATGAGCTGCGCAAGGCGGGGGAGCAGCAGCCGGCTGGAGCAGGCGCTACAGCCAGACCACCGCGTGCAGGGCTCCCTGGCCTTCAACCGCCTGCACTCCGCGCGCGACCCCCACGCCAGCCCCCCTGCGCCCGCCTCCCCCCTCACCCCCTCCGGCGCCCCTGGCAGAGCGCTCGGCGGGGGGTATCAGGGGTCTGGGCGGGGGGGGTGGCGGGAAAGACGCGGAGAGGAGCGGGTCGGGGGCGGGGATGGGCGCGGGGCGGGGGGGCATGGGACGTATGGGCGCTACCGCTACCGCTGCTGCTGCTGCTGGTGCTCATGCTGCTGGTGGTGCGCGCAGCAGTGGCGGGGCACTGGCAGCGGCGGCAGGGGGGGAGTAGTGCCTGCTTGCTCCTCCCTGGACAGTGCTGGCCTGGACGCCTCCCCCCTTGCATTTCTCTCCCACGGCTCTATCCCTGATCGCCCCAGCACTGCCTCTGGCCCCAGCGGTAGGCTCAGGGCAGCAGCGTGGGGGAGAATGAGAGCGGATGGGGGAAGGAGGGACGAGAGGGCGGCGGGCGTGGGTGGGTGGGAAGGGGGAGACGGGGAAGGGGGGGAGGAGGGGGAAGGGGGGGAGCGAGAGCCGCAGCAGCAGCAGTGGCAGAGGAGGCAGGGGAGAGGGCAGGCGGCTGGTGGTGCTGGTGGTGGCGGTGGTGTGGGTGGGTGGGGGGGAGACATCATTGGCAGTAGCAGCAGCAGCAGCGACGCTATTGCTACCAACCCTGCCAGTTCTGCTGCTGCTAATGCCAGCACCGGCGGCGGCGGGGGTAGTAGCAGCAGCGGGGACAGTGGTAGCGCCAGGCGAAACCTGAGGAGGAATATGAGCACGAATTGCCTTATTGCGGCGGGTAAGGGCGCAGGAGCAGGGGCGGGAGGAGGAGGGATGGGAGGCGGAGCCGCAGGGCAAGCAGGTGGAATCTCAGGTGAAAGCACAGGGCTGGATAACCAGGCACAGGGGCACGCAGGGCAGAGGGGGGAAGGGGTGCGGAGGGCAGGCAGCGTGGGGGGGGTCGGGGGGGGAAGGGCCAGGCGGGGGGGGAGGGGATGCGGGAGGGGGGAGGTGGGGGAGTGGGGGATGGAATGCGGGTGGAGAGGCGGAACACAGTGGATCCCCATGCAGAGCAGTTTCTCAAGAGCCTGAGTCAGTACATCAGCCGGGGGCTTACTGGGGAGCTGGGGCCGTATGGAGGCGAGGGGGAGGGCGAGAAGGGCGATGCGGAAGCCGACATGTGGCAGGTGAGTGCGGTTGTGTGCGGTTCTGTGTGGTTGTGTGTGTGTTTGAGTGTGTGCGTGGGATGAGGCACAAGGCGAAGAGCCTGAGTCAGTACATCAGCAGGGGGCTTACTGGGGAGCTGGGCCGTATGGAGGCGAGGGGGAGGGCGAGAAGGGGGATGCGGAAGCCGACATGTGGCAGGTGGGTGCGGTTGTGTGCGGTTCTGTGTGGTTGTGTGTGTGTTTGAGTGTGTGCATGTGATGAGGCACAAGGGGAAGATCCTGAGTCAGGACATCAGCCGGGGCTCACGGGGGAGCTGGGGCCGTATGGAGGCGAGGGGGAGGGCGAGAAGGGGGACGCTGAAGCCGACATGTGGCAGGTGAGTGCGGTTGTGTGTGTGTGTGTACGTCCCTGTGTGTGTGTACGTCCCGGTGAGTGTGAGAATGGATGTGTGTGGATTTATTTGTGTCTGAGTGTGTGTAAGCATGTGTGTGTGAGTGAGAATACCTTGTGATGTCAAACTGCGTCCCACCACGCGGTGTCAAAGCATGAGGTGGCAGGATTCCATTCTGTGATGCCGTATGGCCATCAAAATCAGCAGGCCATCAAACAATTCCCCACCCAACCCCACCTGTCCCCACCCATCCCCACCTATCCCCACCCATTTCTACCCCGCTTTCTCCAGGTGATGAGCTCTGGCAGCATGCGGTGGCGGGATTTTATCCTGCGCATGCCGTACGATGACGTGAAGAAGTTCTACTCGGTCAGCGCCACCAAGATCGGCAGCGGGCGGTACGGCGTCATTCGCACGTGTCTGAGCCGCAAGACTCGTGTGGTGCTGGCGTGCAAGACGATAAGGAAGGACCAAGTCAAGGTGAGGGGATGGGTGGGCTGGTGCAAAGGAGGGAATGGGAGGGCTGGGGAGGGGAAAGGAGGTAGTGGGCGCCACCAAGATTGGCAGCGGGCGGTACGGCGTCATTCGCACGTGCCTCTCCCGCAAGACCCGTGTCGTGCTGGCGTGCAAGACGATAAGGAAGGACCAAGTCAAGGTGAGCGATGGGAGGGGATGGGAAGGTTGATTGAAGAGGAGAGGGGAAAGTAGGGAGTGGGTGAGAGTTTGGGAGTGATGAGGCACGGGCGGTACGGCGTCATTTGTACATGTCTGAGCCGCAAGACTCCCGTGGTGCTGGCCTGCAAGACGATCATCCTGGGCATGCTGCGCAACCACCCCACATTGCAACCTCGCACCCTTTCCGCCCCTTCCCACCCCTTCCCACCCCTTCCCACCCCTTTCCACCCCTTTCCACCCTTTCCCGCCCCTTCCCTGTCCCGTCCTTGTCCTTTGCGTTTCCCCTCTACCCCCCAGTGCATGGAGGACGCAGAGGACTTGCGCACAGAGGTGATCATCCCCCCTCACCCTCTTCCTCTTCCCCCTTCCCCCTTCGCCCTCCTTCCCCCCTCCCCCACTGCACCCCCCTCCCCAGTGCATGGAGGACGCAGAGGATGTGCGCACGGCGGTGATCATTCTGGGCATGCTGCGCAGCACACCTCATGTCACACACCCCTTCCCACCCCTTCCCATACCTTCCCGGCCCTGCCCCCACCCCTTCCTGCCCCTTCCCCCACCCCTCCCCTCTTTCCCCCTCAGTGCATGGAGGATGCAGAGGACGTGCGCACGGAGGTGATCGTACTGGGCATGCTGCGTAACGCACCTCAAATCACATCCCCCCACCCCCTGTTGGCACACCCCACTCATGTCACATCCCCCCACCCCTTGCCGTGACCCCCCACGTGCTGCCAGTGCATGGAGGATGCAGAGGACGTGCGCACGGAGGGGATCATTCTGGGCATGCTGCGTAACCATCCCATATTGCAACCACCACCCCTTTCCACCCCTTCCAACGCCTTCCCACCCCTTGTTCCCGCCCCACCAGTGCATGGAGGACGCGGAGGACGTGCGCACAGAGGTGATCATTCTGGGCATGCTGCGCAACCACCCGGGCATCATCAGCCTGCACGACGCATTTGAGGATGCAAAGGTACCTACGGCACCAGATTGCTGCTCATGGCATACCATTCCATGCCATGCTGCGCAACCACCCAGGCATCATCAGCCTGCACGACGCGTTTGAGGATGCAAAGGTATGCGGGTGTGCTCGTGTGAACCTCGTGTGTCACCATGCCATGCCACACACACACCGCATTGCCTTTCCCCTCATGGCATGCTGCGCAATCACCCAGGCAGCATCAGCCTGCACGACCCGCCTTGGAGGATGCAAAGGTAACCATGCTATTGTGTGCCGCTCTCTCGCCGACGCGCTGCTGCACTCTGCGCTGCTGCACTCTGCTCTGCTGCACTCCGCTCTGCACTGCCACTCCCTTCCAACAGTGACTAATCAAGCCCGCTCAAACCTCCCCCCCCTCTCCTCCCCCACCTGCCTTCCTTATCTCCTGCTCCCCCTGCCAGTATGTACACCTGATAATGGAGATGTGTCGCGGTGGGGACCTGTTCGACCGGGTGAAGCTGCGGGGGCAGTTCAAGGAAACCGACGCGGCCATCGTGTGCCGCTCTCTCGTGGAGGCGCTGCTGCACTGCCCTGCCCTGCTCTGCTTTGCCCTACCACTGCCCTTCAATGGTCACTTATCAAGCCCACTCACCTCAAACTCCTCTCAGTTCCCTCCCTCCCCTTCCCTCTCCCCATCCCCCCTTTCTCCCTCTTCTCCTGCAACCCCGAAACAGTATGTACATCTCATCATGGAGATGTGTCGGGGTGGGGATCTATTCGACCGGGTGAAGCTGCGGGGGCAGTTCAAGGAAACCGACGCGGCCATCGTGTGCCGCTCTCTCGTTGAAGCGCTGCTGCACTGCCACTCCAACGGGGTGATTCACCGCGATGTGAAGCCCGAGAACGTGCTCATGTGTGACAAGGACGTGGACACCAAGATCAAGCTCATTGACTTTGGTGTTGCCACATTCTACAAGCGAGGTGAGAGTTGTGTTGGTACAGGGGCTGCTGCTGCTGCTGCTGCTGCTGCTGCTGCTGCTGCTGCTGCTGGTTGAACGTGCTCATGTGTGACAAGGACGTGGATACCAAGATTAAACTCATCGACTTTGGTGTTGCCACCTTCTACAAGCGAGGTGAGGCTGGGGTTGCTGCTGCCTGCTGCTGTTGCCTGTACAAGGGAGGTGATGGAGGGTGGGGAGGGAACGTGCTCATGTGTGACAAGGACGTGAAAACCAAGATTAAACTCATTGGCTTTGGTGTTGCCACATTCTACAAGCGAGGTGAGGGCCGGTGTGGTTGGGACACGGGCTTCTGCTGCTGCGGGTCCAGCCACTGCCGGTTACAGGGGAGGTGAAGGGGTTGCTGATGGAGTGCTGTTTGAAGCTTAACTTTAGGGGAAGAGCTGACACAGTAGAGTACACTGCTCCAGAGGTGCTGGATAAGAGCTACCGGTGCAGGAAGTGGGGTCATGCCTTAGATTATCACTCCCCCTCCCCAAACCCCCACCCACTCGCCCCTCACACCCTCTACCCCCTTTTCATCAGGCGTCCCCTGCACGGAACCAGCAGGCACTGTGAAGTACACTGCTCCAGAGGTGCTGGATAAGAGCTACGGGCGCATGCAGTGAGGTCATGCCTTAAATCAGCAGTCTTCCTCCCCGCCCCACCTTCCTTCCTCCCCTTCCCCCTCCTTCCACCATCAGGCGTCCCCTGCACAGAGCGAGCAGGCACAGTAGAGTACACTGCTCCAGAGGTGCTGGATAAGAACTAGGGGCGCAGGAAGTGGGGTCATGCCATGCCTTACCTGAGCTCTCCCCCTCCCCAAACTCCCCATCCGAACCCCGCTCCCTATCGACAGGCGTCCCCTGCACAGAAAGAGCAGGCACAGTGGAGTACACTGCTCCAGAGGTGCTGGATAAGAGCTACGGGCCAGAGTGCGACATCTGGAGCGCGGGTCACCTTCCCTAACCCCCCCGCCCGCTTCCTTCTCCTCCAAACCTTCATCAGGCGTCCCCTGCACTGAGAGGGCAGGCACAGTAGAGTACACAGCACCAGAGGTGCTGGATAAGAGCTACGGGCCAGAGTGCGACATCTGGAGTGCAGGAGTCGTCCTTTATATCCTCCTCTGCGGCTTCCCGCCGTTCTGGGCGGCGACCAACGCTGAGCTGGAGCAGAGCGTGCGGGCGGCGGCGGTCGACTTCCGCCACCCGCGCTGGGCGGCGGTGTCGGACGGCGCCAAGGACCTCGTGAAGAGGATGCTGACGAAGGACGTGAGGCGGAGGATCTCCGCTCTTGAGATATTCGGTGGGTCCGGTGGGGAGGGCTGCGGGCTAGTTGTGTGCGAAAGAGTGGTTGTGTAGATGGGAAAAAGGGGGGGAGGGGAGGGGGGATGGGGAGAAAGGGGGGAAGGGATGGGGGGAAGAAGGCACAGGGTTGCTTACAGTTTACACAGATACCTCCTGTCGAGTAGCCTGATTGGACGGGTGGAGTTCCTTCTGGAAGACCATGTGGGTGTCAGTTTCCACTGTTGCCCTTCCCACTCCCACTTTTGTCCTTTCCCCATCCACTTTCACCCCTTCCTATTTTCCACCGTTGTGCATTCCATTACAACTGCTGCCCTTACCATTCCGACTGTCGCCCTTCCCATTCATTTTGCACCTGGCGCTCCTTATGTCCTTCCGATCCGACTCCTCTCCTCCGTGCAGCACATCCCTGGATAAGAGCTGCTGAGAAGCAGCACAGACTAGACAGCAAGCCGCAACCTCCAAATGGTGACTCGTCCTTGTAAAACATAAGCAGCACGAATTCACAACGCAACTAACCTTGACCTTAGGCTCATGCGGACAGGACTTGAGTGTTTTTCATTATTTTCCGTTTGCCCTTAGGCTGGTGGATTCATAACAAAAGTATAAAGCAGGTTGTTATTGAAGGGATGCTGTATTGTACACCTTGTTAAACTTAACAGGTTCTCTTATGCCTATTGTTGTCCTTATCCTTATCCTCATTAGCTAAGTAACACCTGGACTAGCTGTTCCGCTGCTGGTGTTCTGTCCATTCATTTCCCATCGGCATATTCCTGACAAGATCAAGACTCGGCAGCTTCTCATGTCAGGTGGAGGCTTTCTCGAATCTTTTGCTGCAACCGTGGCAAGTTTCTGTGGTCGCTAATGCTTGTGTGGTCGTTCCTGCAGCCGTCATCTGCTCGGGTCCTGGTCAGCGGGCTTGTAGCAGAATCCGTCACGAGTCCCGTCCCGTCCCACCCAAGTCCTGGCTCCAGCGGGCTTGTACAGATGCTCCCTCTGCCCGTTCTGTGCACCCAAGTGGGGTGGCTGGGAAGGATGACCTGCCTAGCCAGTTGCTCTGCTCCACCAACCAACCAACTAGCCGAGCCTACGCATTTGACTAGGTCAATAAATATATCGTTCAGCACAGAGGCTGGGGTCTCGACTCGAAGGGTTGTCTCATTTGGTGAACTGTACAGTGTCGATTTGAAGATACACCTGGTCCGCGGTATTTTAACCACCCGAACTTTTTTGTTTCAAACATCCTGAGTGCATTTTAGTTCAACGGAATGGGCACCCAGAGACTTCGGGGCTATTAGAATACAGCCGGGAAGTTTTCCGTTTGACAAAACCCACACTTAGTGCTCCGAGATAGGGTGCGCATTGGCATTAACAGAGTTGCAACTTCCGTGATCTCGCTGGGTACGCTTAACTATACCTTCATAAATGTTTTGAACTACCCTTGTATTCAATATTCACCATGGAGTAGTACCCCCGCGTGGTTAAGATAGCGGCGGTTAAAATACCGCGGACTAGGTGTAGCAATTGCGGTACTGCACGGTGCCAATCTGTGTCGCATTTTGCAACATCCTTCTGAGTTTCGCCATTTTCCAACCGAAGTCCCACAGTGGCTGCCGAGTCTAGCTGGTTGGGCAGGTATCCCCTCCTCGGCACCGCCTACTGTAGTTCGTTCTCGGCAAGGTCAGGAGGTGGGGGGTGCACGAAATGTGGGGGGGAATGACGAGCGTAGCGGGGAAGAGCCACAACAAGACTTGAGTGGGCTACTGGAGCTGTTCCGACAATTGCAATGCTCGGAACAGTACGATACGAAGCCTCTCTCGATGATGTGTACGGTTCATGCGTCTTCGCCCTGAGATCGCAGTGCTGGGGTACACCCGTAGACGAGAGTAGCAGGTGCAGATACTCGAACAATAATGTTTAGAGGGTATCTTTACTTTTTACTCTGATTCTCTCAGCAAAACCAACAGTGGTATTCTCCTCTTTTGGTTTCTTCGTCTGGAAGCCTTACCAGTAATATATAACATGGCCTATTGAAAGCATATGCAATACCTGGACTGGTTTGTTAGAAGTTGGTGAAAGCGATCTAAACAGAAATCCACCCCGCTCTTCCTCAAAGCTTGGACACCCGTCGAGTGTGATCTCTCTAGGCTCACTGAATCCCTGGAGACTTGCCATGCCAACCACATCTCAGCCTGCCTTCAATTTGTACACTGGAAACAGGTACTAACTCTGTCGTATACCCTGGTAAAGCTGCGGGCAGTCGAGAGCACAAGCTGGCTCCGCGGGCAAACCACGCGGCCCCTCCTCCTTTACAGTACAGTACAAGTATCGTATCCCCCACGTGATATTTTCCCAGCTCCCGCGTGACCCGACACCGCCGCGCCCAACTCGACACTCCTTGTGGGGAGGGGAGGATGAGCTCACCCAACCCAACCAATCGAATGAGTTGCAGTGGCGTGGCAAAGGGAACAAGGACAGGAGTCGTGCGCATGGGTGCGCAGGAGGGGACGGGAGGCGGGGGAAGCAAACGAGAGGTTTCTGAAGACCAAGGAATTGACTAGCCTCGGAACGAAATTGGTTGAAGCTAAAACAGGCGGGACTTCCAAGTCAAGCCAAGTTCGTAGCATTTCTAAGGCTGCTGAGTTTCGCCCGAACCTACTCTTTTTTTTTAGAGAGAAAGAAACGCCGTTCGTACTACCTCTAGGTTGGCCTGATGAACACATGTACTTACGAAACAGAGCTTCGCCGCCAGACGCGACGCTGTTAATACGGTACTATACTCGAAACGAGAACTAGGTTTTTTTTAATCGTTTCACTACTAGTAAGTTCGTTTTCGTAACCACGGGTCGCACGATGGAGTTCGAGAAAGATTCGCCTCCCGCGGGTGCGCCGGACTCGCCGGACCTGGAACGGCACGATGCGAAGGAGGCGACGGATCGAGTCGTTAACTCCGACGGATATCGATGGCTCAAATACGGCTCCAAGTTCCTGAAACGAGGCCTCGGTCAGAAGAGGTGATGATCGTATAGAATTATACTACCGTAGTACGTAACGTACTCCTAGTACACTGGCTCATCGCAATTCTGGGGCTGGGGAGTTGTTAACGACTCGCAATTCGAGGAGAATACACCGCATCAGTCGTGCTACTACTACCTCACGCGTTCCGCCTCAAAATTCACGTTCTTACGGATTTAGCACATTTTTTTGCTGGCAAACCTTTTTCTATTACCAGAAAGCTGTTCAATGGTCTCGTACTATATCTCGTGGTAGTAATTATCATTTTTTCGCAATGGTGGAAATTATCCTGCCTTATCCAACTCAACCCGCGCCTTCTTTTCCTGCAAAATCGCCTCTTCCCCAGAGCTTACTACCGCTGCGCGGCGAGCAACCCGCAGTACCGCTCGCCGGGCGCGGAGCCGTGCAGAGCGCGGAAGCAGATCGACTACGACGCGTCCACGGGGATTGTCCACGCGTCCACGGCCGTCGTGCACCTCGCGGGGTCCCCGCACAACCACCCCCCGGTGTCCGTCATCCCGGCCTGCGGCGCTGCGTCTGGCGCTGCTGCCGCGTCTGGCGCTGCTGCCGCGTCTGGCGCTGCTGCCGCGTCTGGCGCTGCTGCCGCGTCTGGCGCGGCTACAGCTGCGGCTGCAGCGGATTCGCCGGCTCAGCGGAAGGTGCAGGAAGAGGGTCTGGCGGGTGGTAGAGGGGGGATTCAGGATTCGACGGCGCAGCAGGACTCGTTGCATGTGCATGTGCGGCTGCAGCAGCACCAGCAGCAGCAGCAGCAGCAGCAGCAGCAGCAGCAGCAGCAGCAGCAGCAGCAGCAGCAGCAGCAGCAGCAGCAGCACCAGCACCAGCAGCAGCAGCAGCAGCAGCACCAGCAGCAGCAGCACCAGCAGCAGCAGCAGCAGCAGCAGCACCAGCAGCAGCAGCAGCAGCAGCAGCAGCAGCAGCAGCAGCAGCACCAGCACCAGCAGCAGCAGCAGCAGCAGCACCAGCAGCAGCAGCAGCAGCACCAGCACCAGCAGCAGCAGCAGCAGCAGCACCAGCAGCAGCAGCACCAGCAGCAGCAGCAGCAGCAGCAGCACCAGCAGCAGCAGCAGCAGCAGCAGCAGCAGCAGCACCAGCAGCAGCAGCACCAGCAGCAGCAGCAGCACCAGCAGCAGCAGCACCAGCAGCAGCAGCACCAGCAGCAGCAGCACCAGCACCAGCAGCAGCAGCAGCAGCAGCACCAGCACCAGCAGCAGCAGCAGCACCAGCACCAGCAGCAGCAGCAGCAGCAGCACCAGCAGCGACAACAGCAGCAGCAGCAGCAGCACCAGCACCAGCAGCAGCAGCAGCAGCAGCAGCAGCAGCAGCAGCGACAACAGCTACAGCTACAGCTACAGCAACAGCAGCAGCAACAACACTGGCAGCACCATCAGCAGCAGCTACAACAGCAACACGAATGGATGCAGCAGCAGCAGCAGCAGCAGCGACAACAACTACAGCAACTACGACAACAACAACAGCAACAGCAACAGCAACACTCGCAGCACCATCAGCAGCAACAGCAGAAACAGCAGCAGCAACAACAACAGCAACACAAATGGATACAGCATCAACAGCAACTGCAGCAGCATCAGCGTCAGCATCAGCAGGAGCAGCAACAGCAGCAGCAACCGCAACAGCAGCAGCAGCAGCAGCAACAACACCAATGGAAACAGCATCAACAGCAACCGCAGCATCAGCAGCAGCATCATCTTCATCAGCAGCAGCAGCAGCAGCAGCAGCAGCAGCAGCAGCAGCATCAATGGTACGGAACGTCTCAGACTGTGCCTATGAATCATACATCTCCAACTTCCCCAGTTCACCTCTCGCCACGTCGCTCCGATACCGCGCCTTTTCATTCTCACAACAGCATGCCATGCCGCTTGAATCTGTCGCCTCTGGCTCGCCCAATCAGCCGCCAGCACCACCACCCAGCAGCACCCAGCAGCACCCACCACCACCCAGCAGCACCCAGCCTTGCCAGCTCCGACGGTTCGAGTCACGACGGCAACAGCAACGGGAACGCTACTAACGCGGACGGGATCCGGAGCAGAACGCCGTTCAGTCTCGCGTCGCTCTTGCCGGTTACCACATGCGGTGGCGAAAGAGATATTCGTCATGGTGCTGGTAGTAACTTTCGCCAACCCGGTTCATGGGTCAACAGTGTGAGTCGGAACGACCCCAGCTCTCGCATCGATGCGAGCAGTGGGGACTTCGATCCCACCGGGGGTCCTGGTGCCAATCACAATGCTGGCTGTGGCGGTGGCGCAAATACGATCCGTAGCTATGATGGCAATGGCGGTCGTATTCACGTCAGGGGCGGCAGCGGTGGCAACGGCGGGGGCGGTGGCAGTGGTGGTGGCGATGGCAACGGTTTGGCAGCAGCACCAGTAGCGCCGTGTGAAGTGGCTCAGGCGACCAGCCCCGTCTCTGCTGCTTACCATCATCTCTCTGCTGCTCCGTTGCTGCCTTTTGCTTCTGCTCCGCCTTCCCCCACTGCTCGCAAACACCAGGGTGTCGTTCCCTGTACTTTCCGGGCTGTGGGTTCTGCTGTTTCTGCTGTCTCTGCTGTCTCTACTGTCGCTGCTTCTGCTTCACCTCCACCTGCCACGGATGCTGCTACAACGGGTGCCGCTACTGCTATTTCAACGGTTGCTGCAGCTGCTGGCGCTGGTGCTGGTGCTGGTGCTGCTGCCCCTGTTGCCAACGTAGCTGCTGCTGCTGCCGCTGCTGTCATTCCAATTGCTGCCTCAGCTCCTGCTACAACTGCTGCTACAACTGCTGCTACAACCGCTGCTACAACCGCTGCCCAGGCGTTCAGTCAACGGCCTCACTCCCAAGCCACAGGACGACTCGTTTCTGGTTCACCCCTTCCCGCCTTCCCACGCCTGCCCATGGCTAACGGCACCGAACCTACCACCAACCCCGAGAATGCTCAGAGATTGGGTGCTACAAGCAACGGTGGGCACCCGTTGCGAGACGACAATGCGGGGGGAATGAAGAGAAGGGAAGGGCCGGCCTTTGAGGCGCCTCAAGGCCCGGCAGGGATGACAAGTATCCCTCTTGTGTGGCTTGCTAGCCGAGCCTCGTGGATTGGGGCCGAGGTGGGTCGGAAGCGGAAGGGAAGAGCGGAGAGGGGCGAGGCGAGGGGGGAGGAGAGGGCGGTGAGAATACGAGGGGGGATGGGGAGGGAGGAGGTGAGTGCGGAGGGGGGATGTGATGGTGTGAGGAGGGGAGAGCTAGAGAAGGTGAGGGAGAGGGTGAGTGATGGAGGGGGAGCGTTGGAGAACAAGGAAGAGAAGAGGACGGGGGAGGTCAGAAATGGAGAGCAGAAGGTGATATTGGGAGGAGGAGTTATTCTTGAGGATATTAAAAAAGAGCGGAAGGTGATATTGGGAGGAGTTATTCTTGAGGATTCTCAAAGGCAGCAGAAGGTGATATTGGGAGGAGGAGACATGGGTGGTGTTGTTAGAGCAAGAGCAGCAGCAGCAGCTGCTGCTGCAAAAGCAAAATCAACAGTAGCAGAAGCATCAACGGCAGCCGAAGCAGCAGCAGTTACAGAAAGAGCAGCAGGGAAGGAAGCCGCGAGTGTTGAGGCGGTTAAAGCTTCATTCTGCAGCGATATGTGCATTGAGACAAGTGCGTTGAGTTTGAGCCGACTCCAAAGTCACCATGAGACAGGCGTTCTTGACGCTCCTCAGCGGAAACCTCAGAAGGAACTCGTCCCAGCTCTGCGCTACAGCGATGTGTGCATGGAGGGGGTTTGGGATCGCAATGGGGAGGACAAGAAGAGCGAGGAGGGTGGGGGAGACGAGGCGAGGGGGGGAGAGGTGGAGAGAGAAGAGGAGGAGATGAGAGGAGGTAGGGAGATGAAAGGGGATGGAGGTGCGGGGGGAGAGTTGGATTTGGTAGGAGATGGCGGGACGGGGGGCAGGGGAGGTACGGAAGGGTGTGGGAATGAGGATGGTCGGGTTCAGGCTGGGGAGATGAGGAGAGAGGGGGGAGCAGCAGAAGGCGAGGGAGCAGCAGAAGGTGAGGGAGCAGCAGAAGTTGAGGGAGCAGCAGAAGGCGAGGGAGCAGTGGAGAGGAGGGAAGGATGGAGGGGAGAGGGTGGATCGGAAAGGGGCGGATCTAGGGGGGTGGAGGAAGAGGGCGAGACAGGAGGTGCAGCTTCTGCGCTGATTGCTCTGGCTGCTGCTGCTGCTGGGATCAGCCGTCACTCCCCCTCTACCGCCCTCTCACAACCTGTTTTTGAGGCGCCTCAAGAAGTCTCTGCTGCTGCTGGGATCAGCCGTGACTCCCCCTGCACCACACTGCCAGCCGCACCAGCCCCATCAGCCCCATTAACAGTATCAGCAGCATCAGCAGCAGTAGCAGTTGGGAAGCCAGCAGGAGAGGCTGTACCTGGGGAGGCTGTACCTGGAGAGGCTGTACCTGGAGAGGCTGTACCTGGAGAGGCTGTACCTGGGGAGGCTGTACCTGGGGTGGCGGAAGCAGGAGGAGGAGGAGAGAGTGGAGCAAGAGAAGGGGGAGCAGGAGGTTTTGAGGTTGCAGAAGGGTGGGGACCAGGAGGAGGGGGAGCAGGAGACAGGGAACCAGGAAGGGGAGGAGCAGCAGGGTTGGTGAGAGCAGAAGGGCGGTGCAGACCAAGAAGTGATGGATGGGGGAGAGAAGTCGTGTGGGGGCCGCAAGCGTATGCATTGGACGGCTGGGGGGGGGCAGCAGGGCAGGCCGTGCAAGGCTGGGGGGGGCTAGCCTTAGCCCCTCACAGCCGCACCCGCACACCCGCGTCCGTCTCACAGCCTCACAGCAACCCCTTGGGTGTGGTTTCTTCCCATTGGGAGGGAGTGCCTTTCCCAAGAGAGAGTATGGACTGGTATGGTCGCATTCCCGTGGCTGCTCCTGCTGCTGGCTTCCCGTGTGCGGGGGCTGTGAGGGTGCCACGTGGCATGCCAGGAGGGCTAACACGTGGAGCACTGGCGCCCCTGGCGTCAGCTCCTGTGTTGCCACCTGGCGCACTGCCATGTGGCATGATGGCGGCGCCAGCGGTGCGCGTTTTGCCACCTGGCATGCTGCCAGGTGGCGGGGACCGGGGATCTGTTAATGGTCTACTAGACTGGAGCCCTAGCCTTGCTGCGTTCCCTCGCTTAGCAATGGGAACTGTGAGCGATGCAGCAATCTGGGTAGCGAAGGGTGGAGCAGCAGGAGTAAGGAAGGACGCAGCAGAGGGAGCAGGGACGGGTGCAGCGGAAGGAGCAGGGAAGGATACATCAAGGGAGGTAGAGAAGGGCGGTTCAACAGGAGTAGGGGTAAGGAAAGAAACAGCAGCAGATGCAGGAACCACCACTACTGCCATGCCCATTGCCCCTGCAGGGACTGGCTTGAGCAGCATTGCTACGCGCATTGCATCGCTGGGAACTGGCGTGAACAGCACTGGCATGCTAGTTGCATCGCTGGGGGTCGGCAGGGCAAGCACTGGCAAGACCACCTCTGGCACGCGAATTGCACCCACGGGGAGTGGGAGGGCAAGCACTGGCATGACCAACACTGGCAACACTGGCACTGCCAACGGATTGACCATAAGCAGCATGAGTGCGGGCTGTAGGGTAGAAGAATGTGCAACCTTTCTGCTAGACACAGCTGTAGCTGCAAGGGGAGGAGCGGCTGGGGGAGCGGCAGGGGGAGCGGCAGCACCAGTGGCAGCGGCGACAGTGGCGGGAAAATTAGGATATTTAGGTGCACGAGGAAGGGGAGGAGAGGGGGCAGGGGAAGGGGCAGGAGGAGGGGCAGGAGGAGTGGGAGGAGCAGTGATGGCTGTGCCAGCACTGGCTGTTGCAAGACCAGCTGTTGCAGTGGCCGTAGCAACATCGGGGTCGGTCTGCTGTAGCAGCATCTACTCTACCACCAGTGGCAGCAGCAAAGGAAAAATCAACGCTGGTGTTGCTGCTGGTTCTGCTACTGTTCGTTCTGCTGCTGCTAGTGCAGTTGCTTTTGCTGGTCATATGAGAGGGGGAGAGGGGGCTTTGGTTGTGAGTGGGGTAAAACGGAGGCATGGAGTGGTGGATGCGTGTGGGGGACGTGGTGTACCCAAATTCGCTCTCACTCTTCAAAGCTTGATGCCAAAGCACGGTCTGTGATACCTGTCCACAGGATAGCCGACCATTGTACTATTTGTTGGAAACAAGTACTTTAACGCTTCCTATGTGTCGTAACATCGAACCGTAAACGAGGCAAGCTACAGCGAAGCAATGGCGAGTCAACCGAGGAGGTTGACAGAAAAGTAACAACCGGAGGTTACGTGAAGGTCAAAGGTCAGCGACCTTTGACTCGACAAATACAGCGCGACAGCAAGGACAAACAACTGACTCGATCTTGAACAGTTGCCCGAGTTGCCACTGTATCGAACCGCAACAGCAACAGCAAAACGGTTATTGCATCCCTTCATATTAGCTTGTATTACCTCTTTATAATTAATCTATCTTGCTCTCACACACTAGCGCAAGGTGGTTCAACAAGTTCTTTATTACAACGCTTCCGCAATACAACATTCCTACCAGAGTCTTAGCCTTGAAAGATCCTAAGAGCTTTTCTCAGCCCAACACTATTCTGTTACTGTAATCCCCTGCATAGTCCTCTGAAGGGTGCATGGATACCGTACCGTATCACCATTTTCAAAAGAATGGAAACATTATTTATTGACAGTCCCACTCAATTCCGGGATAAGGAACGCGTACTGTGGGAACGAAAAATAATATCACTGCCCAAACTCATACAAAGTTTATGGATCACATATTGGATCTATAAACTGTGTATGAGTTTGGGCAGTGATATTATTTTTCGTTCCCAAAATGAAATGCAAAAATACAATACAGATATCAAATTGCATGGAATTCGGGACAAACTGCCTTAGGTATTACCAGGCCGTTAGCTATAACGTGGTACAGTACAGAAAATGATATTGATGGGTGTCTGTAATTGTGATAAAACCATATCTAACAGGAGAATACATATTGTTTCTGAAAAAAACATTCGCGAGAGGATCATTCGGCGTGGAGCATTCGCGTTTTGTGAACCAATCATCAACCAGGTTTCCCATGAAATGTTTCGCGCTTTTGATGGGCGCTTGGGGGAAACACCAGACATGCGAACAAGATTTGTGAGGCTCTCGCACATCTGGTTACTGTCGCACGCAATCTATGCTCCTGAACAGTTGATCCGTGCACTCGTTTGCCTGACAGAAGCTGGCAAGTGACTAGGTGTACCTTATTCCAGCCGTGGAAAGGGTAGATCGAACTTCTCGCTCCTAACCTTCAACTCGCACATGTGTTTGAATGACGATCGGAGGCTCTGATTATTGAACACTTCCATAATTTGTTTAAGGTCCAGCGCCGCTTTTCTTACAAGTTTGGACAGTACCCCGCTTTGACGACACAAAAAACGGGGGCGGCTGGTTAGTTAGCCCACAAAAAGACAACGTCCAACAATGCCAAACACTGCAGCCTCCCGCCGCAATATTTCTTGTTTGCTACAGGTTGAAGACGCCTCTCCACCGCCTCTTTGGTCCTTTCCGAGGAACCTTTCGGGGCCCGATAAGGTGTCGTTTTCTCAATGGGCACCGTCAATGAACTGTGCTGCAAAGTTTCCCCGTGACGTCTCGTCATCCCCACGGTCTGTCATTTGCATGTAAAACAGTCCAGCTTGAGCAGCAAGTGCTGCAGCAGATTGGGGGAAATTTGCGAGCGATTGATATGAGAAGGAAGATTGCACCTTTTTTTGGACCGGTCAGACGCAGTCAAGTCAAGAAGCCCATTGCGGTGGGGTGGCTAGGCTAGTGTTCCCACCGATCTTGTTGATGTCCTCACAACGTAAGGGGAGAACACAACCGTCGGGCAGACGATGCCAGAGTTGCTCAAAATTGTTCACAACATTGCATTGCAACTGACTGGTGGACGTAAACATGGTCACGGGGCAGGTATCAGCCAGAGCTTGACGGAGCTGATGTGGACCAATCATTTGAGAGCTCAAAACCGCAAAGACGGAAGCGCATTGCGCAGAAGGCAGCAGGCGGACGTGGATCTGCCATGAATCCTGTCAACTTCCCAACGGCATTCTTCAGGGTTCCAGAATCCATGGCTGCTCCGCTGCGTTTTGCTCAGCTTCACGACAGAGGCAGCAAATAGAGATAGTAGACAACAAAACCAGACCCGCATGCGTTTTTTGGAAGCAGCAGAAATTGTTCGGAGGGCAGCTGCAGGATGAGCAGTGCTGCAGTGGTCTTCAGCAATCTCTGGACGACCTCCCAAACGGGCGACGATATTCAGCAGCAACACTGGTGATTGCTCGTGACTCGTCGCGACGCAAATGCGGCATAGTGTTTTTTTTGTTTGGTCTAATGTACTCCTCTGCTTCTAGAGCGCGAACACTGCTTCTAGATAAGTCGACGTGTTTGATTGGAGTGGAGAGAGTCGCTGCACGCTGGATCTCCGGTTCGGTCTAGTAGGCCTGCACCCACTCACGCCAACGGAGTCCTTTTGTTGACGTTGAAAGCAGTTTACATTCGACAGGCGTCGCCATTTCAGCTCTGTCGCGGACATTGAATCATCAGATTGCATCAACGCAGCCATAGCTGGTTTCTCCAGGTTTCCTTGGCTCCTTCGCCTTACCTATTGCAAGCAATCATCCGCACGGTCAGGCACAGATTGGCAGCACGAAAGCACCATATTACCAGGCCAACATCCATCGTCGTTTCCTGGACTGATTGGTAGTAGGACTAGTCCACTCAACGTCAGTGGTACTAGCGACTCCACTGGAAGCGCTACCGCGGCACCACACAGCAGTGCGCGGCAACGCTCATAACCGCATCGCACCGAATTGCATCTCGCATCGCGACAGCCACCGTGCCTGTAAATTTTGCACCTGACCCGATTCCGCAACCACTTCAAATTTTCGTGCAGTGCCTTCACCGGCATCGGGGTTCGTATCGTCCAGGTCCGTGCTGCGCGCTAGCCACTGCCGAGACGAGTTATCGCCAGCCACTCGGTTACGGGCTCAGTCACACGCGCGTCAGACTATCATCATAAGAGACGTCACTTTCTCGGAGAGGTCATTTTCGAATATTCTCCTTGTCTGTTCTCGACCTGACGCTTGCAATTTCCGCGGTAACAACCCGCTTGAAACGCCAACCACTACTAACAGCTCTGTGTGATTCAAGAGAGTCTCTTGAAGAGGTTTGCCGTCGCCGCCATGAATCATCCGCCGTCTTTCCGCGAGCTAGCAGCGATGGGACCTCCCGCACCCTTCACCCAAGTCCTTGCGCCAAACGCGGCGCTCGGACAGTTCTTCTACGGGTTTGCGGCTCCGCCGTCCGCGCCGTCGCCGTCACCGTCGCCGTCGTCGGCGGCCGCAGCGCCATCGCCGGCGGCAGCGGCATCGTTCCCCCCAGCGCCGTCAACATTCCCCTCGTCATTCGCCGCGGCGTTGAACGACATGGCGATCCTGAATCGCACGGGCTTATCTGGAGCACCGCCGGCGACGATGTCGCGAATGTCGCAAGTGTCGCTCGATGCGATTCCGCAGATGACGCCCGAATTGGTTCGTCAGATACACCTCCTCGCGAGAAGCCAAGGCGCGCCGTGTTTCCCGCAAGGCGGAGGCTGGAACACTCGTTCCGACCGAACCGACGAGCGGGGGAATGGCGCCGGAAGTGGAGTTAGCGCTTCCTCCACGATCGCAGCAGCAGCCTCCGCAGCGGCGAATCATAACCAGCCTTCGAGCACTTTTGCCGACCGCAATGGCTCATTCGGGAACCTCCCTTTTTCGCTCTCGGAGAGGGAGATGGCGGTCGGCTTACCTGGTGGTACGACTGCTACTATTCGCGGAATTTTCGAGCAGCCGGCGCGTTCTGATTATCTGTTGCAAACTCAACATCCATCCGCGCCGTTCAAGTCGTTCGCGCCGTTGGATCCATGTGCTCCAGTCGCTCCATCCGCGCCGTCCGCCCAGTTCGCGACCTCCCGAGGCTTTTCCGCCTTCCAGCAGCCCTCAGGCTTTCCGCCGCTCGCTGCGGCGGCGGAAACAGGCCAACCCGTAACGCGTCAGCCCTTAACGCGTCGCCCATCGGCGGATGGTGCAATGGATACGTCGGCCGAGGTTATGACTGTCCCTCCTAGTAGGAGAGGCGTTAAAAGGACCAGCGGCCCAGGTGCTAACTCGGCGAATAACAACACGACCGTGCTACCTGCCACTGCCACTGCCCCTGCCTCTGCCGCTCGCCGCCGCCGCAGCGAGAGCAACGGCCCCTCCGCGGGTGACGGCGCAAGCTCTGGCGGAAGTTCCAGCGGAGGTGGCGATAGCCCCCGGGCGGGGGAAGAACCCGCGGAAGTAGGAGCGACGGCGCCATCGGCGGCAGCGGAAGCGACGGCGGCGGCGACGGCGGCGTGGGAGCAGCACCAGTGGTCGCGCGGAGTTGCGGAGCTGGTGAGCGCGGACGGGCACCGGTGGCTCAAGTACGGCGCTAAGAAGCTCAGCACCAAGAACGGCGGCCAGCGCAGGTATCCACCGCCGCGCACTCTGAGGCTCAGAACTGCGAAGCTTCCTCGTTTCGTGATGCTTTCCTGTGTTTGCCCCGTCGTGTCCCCCAATTAGCGCGCAAGGTGGCGGTGATCTCGCACCCCCTGTCCTCACTCTCTTCCCTCCGCCTGTATCTTCCCCCCTCTCTCCTACCCCTATCTCAGGGCGTACTACCGCTGCGCAGCCAGCTCTCCCCACCACCGCTCGGCAGGGTCCGCCCCGTGCCCCGCGCGCAAGGTGGTGAACTCACACCCTCTGCGCCCCTTCGACCTGAGCGCTGTCACTGTGGAGTATCTTTCCGAGCACAACCACCCTGTGGAGGGAGGGCGCGTGGTTGTGCGTGACTATAAAGGGCGCCGGGTTCCTCTTGCTGGGGATGATGGTGCTGCTGGTGGTGAGGATAGGGTGATGGTGGGGAGTGCTGATGTGAGCCCAGCCGTTGCTGCTGATGGCGAAGCCTGGACTGCCGCGGGTGGTGGTGCTGCTGCTGCTGCAGCTGCTGCTGCTGCAGGCGATGACAGGGTTGTATCGCATGATGAGTCTCCTTTTGAGGAGGAAACTCCCCAGCTCAGAGATTTTATGGGTGTAGGTGGCAAGGAGTCTTGCCGAGGAACGTGCGAAAAAGATGCGGCGGAGCACGATATATCTCGCAGCAACAGTAGTGTTACAGAACATTGTGTGGAATCTGTGGAGCAGCTTTTATTGAGGACTGGTGCAGCAGATAGGGGGAGTGAGGGTGTTGATGGTCAAGTGGATGTGGAACTGCATCTAGCCTGCTCGTATGGCAGTGCAGAGCAGGGAATCAACCTGTTTGCTGGGCAAGGGGTTGAAGTTTGCCAAACAGGTTTCAAAAGGATGAGGTTCAGTGAGGGTAGCTGCTACAGTGGGCTTTTTGGAATGGGTGCAGTTGCATGAAGGTTCCACAAAGCATGCACGAAATTTTGGCTTTATCTTGATCGTTTTCATGCTTGGGTCATGCTTGCTTATATGGTGTTGGCTTGTGTTCGTTTCTAGATATTGAGTTGCTTCTTATATATTGTCTTGCATAAACTTGTAATAGAAGTTGGCATAATGCATTTTGTTGAGTTCTACAGAAACCACACTAACTGGGTCCCCTAGAGGTTAGCGAACCACGCAAACTCGTTATGGGTCCGAGTCAAGGGTGGCGTGTGTTGTGTAGTCCAGGGCCCAGTTCGGCAGGCATTAAAAAAACGGTTTCCCCGGATGGGCTACAGTAAAACGACCACCCTGGAACCTTCTTTGATAAGCGCGTGAAAGGTTATCTAGGCTCGATATAAGCGGATCATCGCCGAACCAGACAATAATGGAATGCCAGCCGAGCACCCCTTTTAAAGCGACGGGCAACTTTTGGCAGTGTTGGGTTCAGAAGTTTTTTTTTTGAACCAGGCTTGCCAGCGCGAAAGTGCTGGCTGGCGAAAACCAGGATTTCGTGCGGACACTTTCCATCCGCAGTAACAGTTCGCCAGGGTTCTGGGTTTTGGCTGGCAAATGTGCACCGTCGCTTTAACGCTGGCAATTTCCACCAGTAGAACCTTCCTCGAACCATATTTCTCAGGCAAACTGTCCATTTTCTCATCCGCAGCACCATGCGGCCTCGAGGTCCCGCACCATGCGGCCTCGAGGTCCCGCACCATGCGGGGGATCATTGATTCGGGGCAATCACACCTTGCCCTGAAAAAAATAAATCCTGGTCTTTCTCACCCCTCTTCGTGCCCGCTGGAAAATCACACATCACCAACACACCATCACTAACACATCGAACGGACAGTTTCCCTTAGCCGATTTTTTTCGACGACCACCGCTGGTTTGCAGGGCTGCCCGGGCTGCCAAAACAGTGATTCTGCGCTCCATCAGCGCGGCTGCATACAGGCTTCTCCGAAGTGTCGTTTTCGGTTGATGCCATTAAACTTGGCTCAGTTAATGCCAACCGAACCCTCGGGCCCATTTTTCCGAAGTTTCACTGCAGCTACAGTCTGTTTCTTGGGGCCATTTTTTGGGGGCCCGTTAAAAATGCCCATAATGGCGATAATGGCGAGAATGCCTGCCGAACTGGGCCCAGGTGTGGGTGGAAGTCAGCCCACACCTCCGCTGACGCTTTGCTGCTCACGGCTAGCAAGGGACACACCACACCACACCACATTACCACCGACCAATCACAACGTGGTGGAACCTCGATCAGAATTGCGAAGCTGTTCGCGAAAGTAACATCTTCTCCTTCCCCTCGTTTCAGTCAACAGGTCTTGAGGACCATCTCTGGGATTACCGACGGCGCAATCTCTTGCAACCGAAACGCGTTCCTCTTCTGCCTCCCAGCCTGCCCGTACCGCCTTGTGTGAACTGGCTGATCACCCGCCGGACCATGCTGAAGGTGCGACCGCAGCAAACTCCGAACCTCCACTACACCCTCACCAAGCCGCTTTTCCACCCTCGTGGGATGACTGCTTGCGCAAACCTGTCACCCCAGGGCTCAAAACAAGCAGTTCGGCTCGGCAAGTCTGTTGCGCGTCAAAATGGTACCATTCCGTACCCCTTTGCCCTACGTCCCGAGCAGCCCGCAGTCCAAGTCGCCCCAACGGTTTGGAGGAACTGTGGCCATAACCATGGATGCCCGTGCGGGCAGCCCAACGAAAAGCAGCAGGCAGTGTGTGCGGGTGGCCCAGCTTGACTCTGCCTGCCTGCCCCAGTAAAAAACCCGTGGCATGGAGCCCATGAAACCCCGCAATCCGCCTAACGCGCATAGACCAATGGTAGAACAGCAGAAGTTGGTCAGAAACACGGACGGACGGACCGGATGAAACAGGCTTGACCCGATGTCTTTTTGCCTGGGGTAGCAAGCGGCTGGTTCTAGACTTCAGGCCCTAGAACCAGCTTACTGGATTGCAGTATATTCGATGCGATAGGCTGAAGAAGGCTCCGTCAGCTAGTGAATGACGTGGAAGGATAGCAAGTGGGTTAGCTTCCTCCCTCTCTAGCGGCTGCAATTAGTAGTAACTGGTGACGTCACGGCCTTTGGGTTACAGACAGCAGCGTCCAGTCAGGGATGTGGCGATCTAGTGAATCACTAGTTAGATACCAGGAGGTTTCTCCGGGCTTAGTTTCATGGTTCAAGTCGTAGACGCTGACGAATACATGAGTCGGTAGCACCTGTTTTTGTTGGACAACTGAGAGACTCATGGGATGACAAGTTAGGGTTACAAGCATTTCAACGACAAAATCTCCAGCCATGGCTTCTGACTATCTAATTAGAAGAAATTTCGTTTTCGCATTATTGTTCCACGAGAGACGTCCGAAGACCTTCGTACTTAGTTCGTTTCTTATTGTCCTATTACTACCCACCCTCTATCTGGGCGTAGAATCATTCTCCTTCCACATCTCGCACCATACTCGTCGACCAACCTCTGTAAAATACGTCCGAGCCTCTTCCCGAGCCTCGTCCCAATCTTCGTCACGACCGTTGCAATCCTCCTGGGCGGAGCGGCCGCGACACGACAATGATACCAGATGGCCTCCGCCGGTCGTATCCGTTCTGCGTTTCTCAGGCGCCGCTGCTCTCGAGTCCAATTCGACGGATCAGATGTCGCCACGTGGACTGTCAGAGATGCAGTCGCGGCTTCATGGAAGCATCCGCACGGACGGGTACGTTCTTATCGGAGGTCACACTGCGATACGCCTGAATTCCGATAGATTACTTGCAGAGTGAGAATGCCTTAGGATGCAGTTAATCGTGGGTTTGCTCGATGATTTCCTTCTGTTATGCGAAACCCTAACCTTGCAACACCATAACTTCCACGCTCATTCGGTTGCTTCATTTATCTCACCAGCACCTGTTTCTCTCTCGTTATACTCTCCCCTCCCTTGTATAGCACCTCCCTGCGTGATTTCTTTCCTATTTAACTCTCCCCCCTTCTCCTCCCCATCGCCCCACCTCCCCCCCCTCCTCCAACCCCTCCTTCTCCAACCCCCCCTCCCTTCTCCCCTGCTTCTAGCTTTTCCCCGCCCTCCCGATCTCTCCCCACTTCCCCCTCCCCTCCCCCCCCCCCCCCCACCCCCCCTTTTCCGCGCGCAGTTATTACTCCGTGGACGTGTGGGCCAGGTCACATTTCTTACTTGCCTCAAAATTCCTTCCCCCTCCTCCACCGTCGCCCACCCTTCCCCCCCCCCCCTCCCCCACCCCTTTTCCGCGCGCAGGTATTACTCGGTGGACGTGTGGATCGGGTCACTTTCTTTGAGGCGCCTCAAAGTTCGTTCCCCCACCCTCTCCCTCCTCTCCCCGTTTCTCCCCGTTTCTCCCCCCCCCCCCCCCCCCCTTCTTCCCTCCCCCCCGCGCCTCCGTGCGCAGCTATTACTCGGTGGACGTGTGGATCGGGTCCCCACCGCGCAAGTTCTCTCTCATGGTGGACACGGGGAGCGCGCTCACCATCGTGCCCTGCTCTTCCTGCTCGCCGTGTGGCGCTCACATGGTAAGGCGATAGGGTTACCACGTAACATGTGCGTGTCCGCGCCGCGCAAGTTCTCTCTTATGGTGGACACTGGAAGCGCGCTCACCGTCGTGCCCTGCTCCTCCTGTTCGCCCTGCGGTACTCACATGGTAACCGCTGGGAAGGCTCATAGGGTAACCTTGTAACTTCTCTGTGTTTCAGCCACGTAAGCTCTCGCTCGCGGTGATAGCATGTGACATTGTTAGGCTTTTTAAGTACTGTAACGCCCGCGCGCCAGTTTTATCTCGGAAGCCTGATGACTATTGGGGTGTTGCATCAGTTGTCGAAGGTAAGTGAGCCGTGTAGGGTTGCGAGGTAACGGGTGAGTAATGCTAGGGTTACAAGCAGTGGACGGGCGAAATGCGACATGCGCTGACTCTGTTCTCCGATCCCACTCCCCTCTCCCCTTTTCCGCCCTCCGCCCTTGGCAGAATCCACCCTATTCCCCCTCCGCCTCCGCCTCCTACCTCCCCGTGCCCTGCCGCGGAGGTTCCTGCGCGGGGAACCGCTGCGACCGCCAGCAGCGGTGCGCGTACTCGCGGCGATACGCTGAGGAGAGCACCAGCGACGGCTTTCTCTCCTCCGACCTCGTCTCCTTCTCCCCTCCGCCTCCCCCTCCCGCGCCCGCCGCCTCCGCCGCCGTCCCAAAGGAGAAGCGCGCTTCCGCGCACGAAGACCCCCGGCCTTCCGCTTCCTCCTCCTTTTCGTTCTTCTCCTGGTGGTGGTGGCCGTTTTCCCCCTCCCCTTCCGCCGTCGCTTCCGCCTCTTCCGCGTCGTCTCCCCCTTCCTCCTCCGCCCATGCGCAAGCCTCCTCCGCTTCCCCCTCCTCTTCCTCGATATCTTCCGCGCAAGCCCAGTCTTCCGCTCCAGGCCCCGTTCCGCCCCTTCCGCGCGTGCTATTCGGGTGCGCGGAGGCGGAAACGGGCGCGCTTTCCCGCCAAGCGGCGGACGGCGTGCTGGGGCTCGGGCGGGGGGCGTACAGCCTGCTGGCGCAACTAGTGAGCGCGCGCGCAGTCGCCGCGGAGGTCTTCTCCATCTGCTACGGCGGAGGGGGGGGCGCAGCGGAATCCGCGGAACTGGCAAAAGGCGCGGGGAACGAGGGGAGTGGCTGGGGAGTGTGGCGGCGGAAAGGGGGGATGGGGAGTGGAGGAGGGAAAGGCGGAGGCGGGGCGGGAGGGGAGGGGGAAATGGGGAGGTTGGGGGGGGAGCGCGGGGCGATGATCATGGGGCCTGTGGGGCTGCGCGCGCCTGCAGTGATGCAGTACACGGCGTTCGACCGTATGCGCGTGTGAGTAGTGATTAGCGAGTATGAGGGGATGATTAGCGCATGTGAGGGGGTGTTATTTTCGGGTGAGCGGGTGCTTGTGCATGTGAGCGGACCGTTTGCGCGCGCCTGCGGTGATGCAGTACACAGGCTTCAACCGCATGTGCATGTGAGGGGGCGCAGGAAATTTGTGCGCATGCCAGGGGACGATTTGCGCGCATCTGAGTGGGTGTTTGCGTATGTGAGGGGGCGCAGGTGATTTGAGCGCATGTGAGGGAATTTGCTCGATTCAGTGGGTGATTTGCGCACAAGCCAGTGGGTGCTTTGATCGCCTCCCCCTCCCTCTCCCTCTCCCCCCTCCCACTCCCTCTCCCAGAGGCACGCCCTTTTACCAGGTGGTGGTGTCCCAAATCCGCAAAGCAGGGGATCCTCTCCCCGTGGAGGACGCCCCGCTGCTATTCTCCTCCGGCTGTTTGCTGACTGCTTGCTCTCCTCTCCCTCTCCCCCCCCGCCCTCACCCCCAGAGGCACGCCCTTTTACCAGGTGGTGGTGTCCCAAATCCGCAAAGCAGGGGATCCTCTCCCCGTGGAGGACGCCCCGCTGCTATTCTCCTCCGGCTGTTTGCTGACTGCTTGCTCTCCTCTCCCTCTCCCCCCCCGCCCTCACCCCCAGAGGCACGCCCTTTTACCAGGTGGTGGTGTCCCAAATCCGCAAAGCAGGGGATCCTCTCCCCGTGGAGGACGCCCCGCTGCTATTCTCCTCCGGCTGTTTGCTGGCTGCTTGCTCTCCTCTCCCTCTCCCCCCCCCGCCCTCACCCCCAGAGGCACGCCCTTTTACCAGGTGGTGGTGTCCCAAATCCGCAAAGCAGGGGATCCTCTCCCCGTGGAGGACGCCCCGCTGCTATTCTCCTCCGGCTGTTTGCTGACTGCTTGCTCTCCTCTCCCTCTCCCCCCCCCGCCCTCACCCCCAGAGGCACGCCCTTTTACCAGGTGGTGTCCCAAATCCGCAAAGCAGGGGATCCTCTCCCCGTGGAGGACGCCCCGCTGCTATTCTCCTCCGGCTGTTTGCTGACTGCTTGCTCTCCTCTCCCTCTCCCCCCCCGCCCTCACCCCCAGAGGCACGCCCTTTTACCAGGTGGTGGTGTCCCAAATCCGCAAAGCAGGGGATCCTCTCCCCGTGGAGGACGCCCCGCTGCTATTCTCCTCCGGCTGTTTGCTGACTGCTTGCTCTCCTCTCCCTCTCCCCCCCCGCCCTCACCCCCAGAGGCACGCCCTTTTACCAGGTGGTGGTGTCCCAAATCCGCAAAGCAGGGGATCCTCTCCCCGTGGAGGACGCCCCGCTGCTATTCTCCTCCGGCTGTTTGCTGACTGCTTGCTCTCCTCTCCCTCTCCCCCCCCGCCCTCACCCCCAGAGGCACGCCCTTTTACCAGGTGGTGGTGTCCCAAATCCGCAAAGCAGGGGATCCTCTCCCCGTGGAGGACGCCCCGCTGCTATTCTCCTCCGGCTGACTGCTTGCTCTCCTCTCCCTCTCCCCCCCCGCCCTCACCCCCAGAGGCACGCCCTTTTACCAGGTGGTGGTGTCCCAAATCCGCAAAGCAGGGGATCCTCTCCCCGTGGAGGACGCCCCGCTGCTATTCTCCTCCGGCTGTTTGCTGACTGCTTGCTCTCCTCTCCCTCTCCCCCCCCGCCCTCTCCCCCAGAGGCACGCCCTTCTATCAGGTGGTGGTGAGTCAAATCCTTATCGGGGGAGACCCTCTCCCCGTCGAGGACGCCCCACTGCTCTTCTCCTCCGGGTACGGGGTCCTCGTTGACAGCGGCACCTCCTTCTCCTACCTGCCGGCGCCGCTTACTCACTCCACCACCCTCTCTCTCTCTCCCTCCCTCCCTGCCTCCATCCCTTCCCTCTCCCCCAGAGGCACGCCCTTCTATCAGGTGGTGGTGAGTCAAATCCTTATCGGGGGAGACCCTCTCCCCGTCGAAGACGCGCCGCTGCTATTCTCCTCGGGTTACGGCGTCGTGGTGGACAGCGGCACCTCCTTCTCCTACCTGCCGGCGCCGCTCTTTGAGGCGTTCAAGCACAGCGTGATGGCGCGCGTGGCGCGGGGAGTCAAGATGCTGACGGATACAGAGCCGCAGTACCAGAGCATGTGCTTCCGCTCCACCACCTGGACTGCTCTGTGAGTGCCTCTGCTGCTGCTGCCCTTTGGGTACCTGTCTTTTGAGTCCTAGCTTTGGGATCACCCTTGGCAATGAGTGGCCCGTGGTCTCAAGATGCTGACGGGTACAGAGCCGCAGTACCAGAGCATGTGCTTCCGCTCCACCTCCTGGACTGCATTGTGAGTGTTCTGCTTCTCCTGGTGCCGCTGCTGCTGCCACTGTCCTGCCATTTCCCCTCTGAGATCACCCTTTGAGATCCCTGTTTTCCTCCTCCTTCACCCCCTTCTCCCTGTCAGGCAAGCCTCTACGCTGGCGTCCTTCTTCCCGTCGGTGGAGGTGGTATTCGGGGAAGGCGCCGTTTACTGCCTGGACCCCATTGTTCACTTCCTCTACCTCCCTCCTCCACTCCCCTCCTCCGCCGCTCCCCTCTTTCCCACGCAGGCAAGCCTCCACACTGGCGTCCTTCTTCCCGTCGGTGGAGGTGGTATTCGGGGAGGGCGCCATCTACCGCCTGGACCCAGAGAACTTCCTCTTCCAGCACCGCAAGCACCCTGCTACCTCCCTCACCACTCCCCTGCTGCCCCCTTGGGATTGCCCCACACCTACCCCTCGTCTCGTCTCCCTGCAGGCAAGCCTCCACGCTGGCGTCCTTCTTCCCGTCGGTGGAGGTGGTATTCGGGGAGGGTGCCATCTACCGCCTGGACCCAGAGAACTTCCTCTTCCAGCACCGCAAGCACCCTGCTACCTCCCTCACCACTCCCCTGCTGCCCCCTTGGGATTGCCCCACACCTACCCCTCGTCTCGTCTCCCTGCAGGCAAGCCTCCACGCTGGCGTCCTTCTTCCCGTCGGTGGAGGTGGTATTCGGGGAGGGTGCCATCTACCGCCTGGACCCTGAGAACTTCCTCTTCCAGCACCGCAAGCACCCTGCTACCTCCCTCACCACTCCCCTGCTGCCCCCTTGGGATTGCCCCACACCTACCCCTTGTCTCGTCTCCCTGCAGGCAAGCCTCCACGCTGGCGTCCTTCTTCCCGTCGGTGGAGGTGGTATTCGGGGAGGGCGCCATCTACCGCCTGGACCCCGAGAACTTCCTCTTCCAGCACCGCAAGCGCAGCGGCGTCTTCTGCATTGGGGTGTTCCCCAACCCCGACCAGGGCACTATTCTTGGCGGTGAGTGGTGCGACTTGAGTGACTTCCTGTGAGTGGCCTGGTTGCGCATGAGCGTTGCACTCTCCTCTTCTCCCGGACCAGGGCACCATTCTCGGCGGTGAGTGGCTGCACTGGTACCTTTCACACCTACCCACTCTTTCAGCACCGCAAGCGCAGCGGCGTCTTCTGCATCGGGGTGTTCCTTAACCCCGACCAGGGCACCATTCTCGGAGGTGAGTGAAACAGTGGCACTGTGTATGCGCTCACAGTGATTCACACTCTTCCATATCCGTTCACACCTCCGCTCAGACCTCGTCTTTTGCAGCACCGTGCTTTTTGTTGAATGCGTCAGTGGGTTTCTGGCTCAGCCATTCGGGGACGCAGTGGGTCAAGGGGTCAGTGCCTTGCTCATCCTCTCCCCACCACCCTTGTCTCTCTCCATGTGTCCAGGTCTCATGTTTCGCAACACCATGTTGACCTTTGACCGGGTCAACGACCGCCTTGGCTTTTGGAAGACCCCCTGCGACCAGCTCATGACCCACATTGTGTCGCCTGGCGCGCCTGGTTCGGAACCAGGTCCGGAGCCAGGTTTGGGTGCAGGTTCGGAATCTGGGTCTGGATTAGAGGAGGAAGGCTCGGATATACGGCCTGCAGCAAGGACAATGAATCCGTTAGGGAGGGGCAGGGATCCTCGGGACCCGTACACAGAGGAGCAGGCTCGGTCAGGTGGAGGTTCGGCAGCAGGCTTGGGTGCAGGCACAGGTGGACCCAAGCCTGACGTTGGCACCCACCCAAGCAGCATTACCACACAGGATGCCACTACAAGGGGTGTGTCTGCCAGGGATGTGACTGTAAGAGGCGACAGCAGCAGCAGCAGTGCGACCAGCAGAAGCAAGCGGGCGCCGGATGCAGGGCCAGCAGGCAGCGATGACGACATGGCGATGGTGTGGGCTGTAGCGGATGCCATGCCATCATACCGCCCGGTGGACTCCACGGGGTGTGCGGGGTGCGCCAGCCACGTTGACATGGAGCTGCGGTTTCCGTTGCTCTCGTCCGCACAGCTGGACGCGCTGGAGGGGCAGCTGACTGATGAGCTGATCCGAGAATTATTGCTGGAGCCGGGACAGGTGAGGGCACAGGGGGGCAAGGGCAGGTATGGGCAGGGGGGAGCAAGGAGTGGAAAGGAATGGGCTGGTGAAGGGCAGGTGAGATGGTGTGGGCTGTAGCGGATGCCATGCCGTCGTACTGCCCGGTGGACTCCACGGGGTGTGCGGGGTGCGCCAGCCACGTTGTCATGGAGCTGCGCTTCCCCCTGCTCTCGTCCGGCTCAGGAACAAGCTGATCTGAGTGCTCATGTGCGAGCCAAACGTCCTCCTCCCCACCGACCCCCCAACAACCTCCTTCCACCCCCGGTTCTACCCCCCCCCCTCGGTTCTGCCCCCCGTCCCCACTCGAGCAGGTGGTGATTCAGAGTGTGTGGGGCACGAGTCCCAGCGGGGCAGCAGCGGAGGTGTGGCTGGTGCCGTATGCCGGCACCACCTTCCTGCCCGCCATCACAGTGCAGCGCGTCAACTCCACCATTCGCCAGCACGCCATGCACCTGTCGCCTGCGTTTGGCCCCTACAATCTCAGCTCATTCAACGCGCCGCCGCCTGACTTCTCTGGGTGAGTGTCAGGGTGGGTGTCAGGGGGTGGGTGTCAGGGGGTGGGTGTCAGGGGGTGGGTGTCAGGGGGTGGGTGTCAGGGGGTGGGTGTCCAGCTGATGTGAGGGTCATGTGAAGGGGTGCTTCCTGCTTTTCAATCCATCCCCCACGCTGCCATGCACCTGTCACCCGCGTTTGGGCCCTACAACCTCAGCTCATTCAACGCGCCGCCTCCTGACTTCTCCGGGTGGGTGCGAAGGTGATGTGAAGCTGATGCCATGCCATGATGAGTGCTTGCTTGCTGCTTCTCGTGCCATCTGCCACCATGCCATGCACCCCCCCCCTTCCCCCTCTCCTCCCCTCAGTCACCCCTCGTTCGTATTCCCTTCCCACTCGCCTCTTCCTACCCTCATCCATCTTCCATTCCCCTTACCCCCTCCCCTCCCCCCTCCAGCAGCGCGGCTCAATCCCATTCCAAGCCGCAGCTGCGGTGGCTGTGGTTCCTCGTCGCAATCCCCCTCTTCCTCCTCTGCATCGCTGCTGCCGTCTGGTTCCGAGTGGGGCGAAAGGAGGGGGAGACCGAGGCCGGGAGGAAGAGATTTGTGACGGTGGGGCGGCGGTTGCAGCAGGAGGCAATGGAGAGTGTGAGGAGCGAGAGGATGGAGAGGCATGATAGAATAGAGCGGTTTGAGCGGCATAATAAGATGATTGCGCTGACTGCCCAAGGGTCTGGCTCGTCGCCGAAGCAAGTTCCTGGGTTTGGGTTGATGAGCGGGAGTGTACATTGACTACTGATTATGTACCGACGATTTATACGTTTTGTTGTAAAGAAATGATACAACAAATGCAATTTTGGTGGATGGCAGGCATGTACCGGTAGCTCTGTTGTACTCTGTTGTACTTTCTCATAAACTGGAGTAATGGGTATACGGTACATGGTAACTGTTTATTTGGCGTAATGGGTATATATATTACTGTTTACTTTACTGGTATGCTAGGAGGAGATTAGTTTTCCAGCTTTTACTTACGGTAGCTGCATGTTACTTATCCACTAGATTAAGCTAGAAAGCAAGGTTAGGTCATACATTTGTAGTAAACAGAGCAAACGATGAGATGAATATTCCATAATTCTTAATTTCCTATTCAAGCTCCTTCAACAGCCGACTTTCAGGCAGATTTAATGGTGTAGACGACTAAACAGACTCTTTTTCTCCCACCTACAGCTCCTGTCCTGCAGGCAACCATCTCCGATACAAAGGAGAGATATGGCAAACACACAAACAAGTTTCATCTCTCCTGTAACTACACATGCCTGCCATTATCTCAATCAACGCGTCTTGAACACAATGACAGCGTTTCTTCAACGCATCTAACCCAATCCTTCAATGCGCCCATCCCATGCCTGTCACACATCCGATCCGCAAGAAGTGCTTCGATCCGAAGCTGTTAACAGGTGGTCCTTCCACAGCCGTGTCAGGCGTCTTATCTGCCAGCGTGTCAAGTGTTCTTTTCCAGCTGCGCGAGGGCAGGTGTGAGGTAGTTGTTGGCTCGATCAGGTAAATGTGCCACCTGTTAGAGGAGATAGTGTGTGAGGGAGATGGTATGAGAGGGAAACCGAGACAGGGAGGAAAGTGAACAGTTGTAAGAGGAAATATCATTTTTATTATAACAAACAACAATGCAGAAGAGACCGAAGTGCAGGAATTGAAGCAACGGAGTGAGACCAGGTGTGTTGCACTCACCAGTTCATACAGACCCGCATTGTCTGTATACTCATAGCAGATCTGCAGAGAAGAGCAAATCAGAGCACACATGAGCAGATCAGACTAATCCATGATAGCCCAGTTTAGTGCAAACAAGCACAGAGGAATTAGAGAACAGGAGGGTTTCTATGCAGAAAAACAGAGAGTAAATTTGGAATAACAATCCATATGGACAGCACAGAAGCAATCAGTGCAGAGAATAGTACACACGGTTACCGCATTCGCATGGTTACCGCATTTCACATGGTTACCGCATTCACATGGTTACTGCATTAACATGGTTACTGCATTCACATGGTTACTGCATTCACATGGTTACCGCATTCACTCACATCAAAGCTCTTGTTACGGGCCGTCGGATCGTGTAGAGCCTTCACACACACGTCTGCCACGTCAGCACAGCTGATGCCCTGATGTGTGCGTGTTTGGGGGACGATGGGTAAGGCAAGGAGGGGTGAGGGGTGAGGGAGGGACGTAAGCACAGCTGATGCCCTGATGTGTGTGTGTTGGGGGGACGATGGGTAAGGCAAGGAGGGGTGAGGGGTGAGGGGAGGGACGTAAGCACAGCTGATGCCCTGATGTGTGTGTGTTGGGGGGACGATGGGTACGGAGAAGAGGGGAATGGGGGTTGGTAGGAATGGGTCGGGGAGGGTAGATAAGCTATCAAGTTTCACAGTTTTGTGCACAGATTCGCAAACCACACCCTCCCAACCCCTCCTTTTCCCATCCCACCTACCCACCTACCCACCTACCCACGCACCCACCTGGGTAATTCTATTCCTGTGGTCGAACACCAGACCAGACCAGAGCCTTCTGAACCATCGGCTCCCCCAGCAGGGGCCCTGGCACACAATGGTGCATCTGTTATTTGAGAATTCCAAGAAAAGACACCCACCTGCGTGATTCTGTTCCCCTGGTCGAACACCAGAGCCTTCCTCCCTCCCGGCTCCTCCAGCAAGGGCCCTGGGCGCACAATGGTGTACCCCAGCCCGCTGTTGCGCAGATGCGTCTCTGCTGCCTGCTCACATGCAAGTGTGTGGCGGGGGAGAAAATGACAGAAAATTAACAGTGTGCTTTTGCCACTCTTAATAGAGCCCGGATCCTCCAATAAAGGCCAACTGACTGCTTGCATAGAGGCCCTGGGCGCACAATGGTGTATCCCAGCCCACTGTTGCGCAGCGTCTCTGCCGCCTGCAATGCATGTGGCAGGCAAAAGACAAAGAGAGGAAGGGGGTCTCATAACCGGTTCGCTCAGCAGAGGCCAATTGATTGCTTCAGCAGCCCACTGTAGAGGTGAGTGCATAATGGTAGCCAGCACCGCACTGCACCGTACTGCACTGCCAGCAGCACTCGTGCGTGCTGACTCTAATGCCTGCACCACAGGCGGAATGCACTCACCACTCTCCTCCGGCTCTCCAGCTCGTTTCAAGTGTGCAAGTGATACAGAGTGAGCACACCTGCACTGCCAGCAGCAGGCGTGCCAGCAGCATGCGTACTGGCAGCACTCGTGCGTGCTGACTCTAAAGCCTGCACCACAGGCGAAATGCACTCACCATCTTGGCCTTGACAACTGTCTCTCTCCTCTCCTCCGGCACTCCTGCTCCCGAGCATGACACCAGCACAAAGTCCGTCTCCTCTCCTCCCTGCACTCCCACATACAGGCATACACACATACACACAAACAGAAGGGATATGTACACAAGGACAGACAGAGACAACGAGGGAGTGAGTGAGTGATACAGCATGCCATGCACCCGAGCAAGACACCAACACAAAGTCCGTCTGCTCGCCTTCCTGCGCTCCCACATACACACACACACAGAAGGCCAAGTGGAGGGGAGTAAGCGAGTGATACAGCATGTCATGCTCCCGAGCAAGACATAAACACAAAGTCCGTCTCCTCTCCCTCCTCATCCCCTCTTCCCCCTTTCTTTTTTCCCAACCCTCTCCCACGCCCTTTCTCCTCCAATACACACACACTCACAGAAAAGGCTATCACGGATTGCAGAACCAGCCTGAACATGCTTGGGCTAGCAGATGCAGCAGCGTAAGTTGCACAAGCACATCAAAACCCACCCCTCCACTTCACACCACCTCCCTCCCCTTCCCCCTCCCCTTCCCCCTCCCCCACGCCCTGCCCTCCATAATCTTCCCTCCCCTTACACAGACACTCACAGGAAAGGCCTTAACGTATTGCAGAGCGAGCTTGAAGCTGTTTGGGTCGGCAGGGGCGGCGGCGTTGTCCCCTTCTGCGCCAGCCTTGGATGCCGCCCGGCCCGGAGGCAGGGGCGCTCCCACGGATGGTTTCTGGTGAAGTTGAAGGGAGAAAGAGGAGAAGAGAGCGGTGAAGAGGGGTAGAGTGTGGTGAAGAGAGGGAGAGTGGGGTGAAGAGAGGGAGAGTGGGGTGAAGAGAGGGAGAGCTTGGTGAAGAGTGGTGGAATCCGGCAGTTAAAGGATACCTTGCGATTTGTCGAACCTCTTCTGCACTTCAACGCTTGTTAATCCCGTTCTATCCCTCAAGGCTCATCCACCCTCTCCACTGAGTGTAATTCACCATGCAAGTGTAATTCACCATGCAAGAGTAATTCACCATGCAAGAGTAATTCACCATGCAAGTGTTATTCACCATGCAAGGTTGCTTGTATCGCAGGGCAAGTGAGGAGATGAGACTGTAATCGAATGATCTGCAACATAATTTCTAGCCCTCAATGTTTGAGAACCCCATTCCACTGTCTGTGACTCACCGTGCAGCGTTGCTCGTATCGCAGAGCGAGGGAGGTGCTGAGGGTGGGACCAAGCGGTTTGATACCCCATTCCAGATTTGTTAACCCCATTCCACGTCCCAGGTCTGTGAACCCCCTTCTAATGCATGTAACTCACCGCGCGACGCTGCTCGTATCGCAGAGCGAGGGAAGAGATGAGAGAGGGATCAAGCGATTTGGTTACTCCATTCTACCCCCCAAGATTTGTTAGCACCATTCCACAGCATCACGCAACTCACCGCGCGACGCTGCTCGTATCGCAGGGCGAGGGAAGAGATGAGAGTGGGATCAAGAGGCGGGTCGGACGGGGATGATGCGCGGAAGGCGGAGAAGGGGACGCGGATCTGAGGAAAAACAGGGAGGGAGGGGGATGGGAGGAAGGTGGGGGAAGGAGGTGTGTGGGGGTGTGGGAGGGGGGAGCGGGGTTAGAGGGTGGGAAGGCGTGGGTTGGACGGGGATGATGGGCGGAAGGGGGAGCAGGGGATGATGGGCGGAAGGGGGAGGAGGAAATGCGAATCTGGAGAAAGAGCGGATGGGGAGGAGGAAGGCCCCGAAAATGGAGGGGACAGGAGGTGAAGGGTGGGTTTGATAAAAATGGGGGAGAATGGGGAGGAAGAGCGGAAAGGGAAGTTAGGAGTCAAAAGAAAAGGGAGGGGAGGGAGGGGAGGGAGGGTGTGTGAGAAGGGGAAGCGACAGGGACTCGTGGTGATTGCGAAAATGAGGCGGGAACTGGACATGAGATTGCTCTACGTGCAAGCCAAGAGCAGGGAATGCAGATCTTCTTTTCCCACCTCCATCTCTCACACATTCTGCTCTCCCCTCTCCGTGTCTTCACAACAGCCACGCACTCATGCTCCTCCTCCACCTCTTCTATCCCCTTTACCTCTACTCTACCTCTTGTGACTCAACTCATACATCACATCCTTTCCTCCCCCACTCACCGTGTTCTGCCCTTTCCTTGTCTTCACAACAGCCACATACTCATACTCCTCCTCCTCCACCTCCTCCTCTTCCTCCACCACACTCTCCCCATCCTCCCCCACTCTCTCCAGGCGCGTTCCATCCTTCGCCACCCGCAGCACCAGCGAGTATGGCTTGCCGTCTGACACGAACCGGAACACCAGACCCTCGAAGCTGAGGGGACAGCAAAGGGAGATGAGGAGTAGGGAAGAGAAAAAACAAGGTTACCGGCCCATCCGCAGCACCAGCGAATATGGCTTACCGTCTGACACGAACCGGAACACCAGGCCCTCGAACCTGGAGGGACAGGGGAGCGCGATGAGGAGTGGGAAGAGGAGAAAAGGGGGTATCAGCCAACCGCAGCCCCAACGAGTACGGCTTGCCATCGGACGCGAAACGGGACACCAGACCCTCGAAGCTGGGAGGACAAGCGAGGGAGTTGGCAAAGGGCTTGCCGCCTGATACGACACGAGCAGGAACGGAGCACGTGATGCGGGGAAAGGGGGTGACGGGGTGAAGTGGGGGAGGGGGGGGGGGGGGGGGGGGGGGTTGGGAAAGGGGAAATTGGGGAGGGGGAAGTGGGGGAGTAGGCCCGGGGAAGGGCATAGGGGGATGGCGAGGGGCGGAATGACGTCACTCATGAGCCAACTCAGCCATCACTCACCGTCCGAACGACAATCCCTCTGGAAGCTTAATCCGTCTCTTCGCCTCCACATACCCTCCCCGCGTGAACACGTATCCGGAAAACACGCCCCTCCCGTCCTCCGTGATACTAAACTCCGCGTCCATTCCCGCGCCGTACCGCAGGTCTATATCGTCTTTGATAGTCCGCCCCTCTCCTAACTCCCACCCTTCCTGGAACCGCTCTTTGCTGAGTCTAAGCACCAGAGCTTTGCTCTTGCTGCTGCGCCCGGCGCGGCGCTGCGCTAAGTGGTGATTATAGTCTAGGAATGCCTTGGAGAGATTAACTACGCCCATGTGGTCGACCCGTTGAAGGTCAGCGGCCATGGCGGAGCGAGCCGAGGCGCAGAAGACGACCTTATTGCACCCCTCCACCGCCTTCTGAAGCGCCACCTCGTCGGCCAAATCAGCGACTGCCACCTGGCACGCACGTGGCAGCTGCTCGAGCGTCTCAGCGTCTGCGCTTCTTACGAGGGCTTTCACAGTGTACCCGCGCAAGAGCAACTTTCTTACAAGCACCTTCCCGACGCGGCCCGTCGCCCCCGCTACAAGCACAGTCGTGAACTGAGCGCTAGGGACGCCGAAATCGGCGTCTAAACCGCCCCGCACCAGCTCGGTATAATCCTCCGCGTCCACCGGCGCCGGACGCGCTATCTGGCCCAGCTGGATCAATCTCCGCCACACATCGTCAAGAAACTGTCGGGATCGACGGCCAAGATCCACAGGGTTCACGTCTTCAAGTGACAGCTGCTGCTGCTGCTGGGAAGCTTCGCCCGATTGCTCCTGCTGCTGCTGCTGCTTCACGGCCTGAAGTTGCTGCGCAGTTTCGTCAGCGGCGACGGGGTCAGCCAATAGAACATCGGCCTTGATTGGCCGGCTTGCTGACGGTGCTGCTGCGGAATCTGCAGATTCGGGACTCGCGGAATTCGAGTTCACATTAGAGCTCTCGTCTTTCTCTCCAGCTGCTCGTGTGCGCACTACGTGATAACGCCGCGAAAGGGATAATGGATGCTTCTTGTGGAGAGGTCTAGCGCGTCTAGTGCTAGCGGAAGACGAAACGCGCGGGGAGATGCGGAGGAACGCGACTGGATAGTCGCTGCGCTGCGACGTGGAAGAAAGCGCGGCAGCGGTTACACTCCCCGCGCTAATCCGCACGGGAACGGCGGGCGAGGTGAGGGCAGCCATGGCAAGAGTGGCCTTACGATGAACAACTGAACAGCCAAACACGAATGACTCAAAGATCCTAAATAAATAACAGCTCGTCCTCGCTAGCGAATCGAAGAGAAGGCAGGGGTCGCACTGAGCTGGGCTTGGGAATTTTGCTCAGGTAAGCATTGGGATTTGCCCAGTTAGGCCTTGGGCTTGGCTGTTGCACCTTGGGATTGGTTCGTTCAGCTTGGGACGCGTTGAAGGGCGACGTGGAATTGCGCGCCAGGCTGGGCTCCCGAAGGTGTGGTCGCAAAGCAGCCATTGAGACCTTATATGGGTCCACATAGGATCCACATGACGTGGAATAAAAGGCTTCCACGACATTTGGGCCACGATCGACGGTGCAACGTGGTCAGAGCAGACGCCAGAAACTTCGCACGACAATGCAGATAGTCGAAAGTAGTACTTTCACGGCAGTGTACTTCACGACCAACAAATAGTACGCTGAACAGACGAGAAGAGAGTTTGCACGTTTCTTATTTCCATCAAAACAAGGCGAATAATGGTGTTTCTGCAGCATCAGCATAAGACTGATGAATAGTTAAGCACTACAGAAATATTTCGTAATATTTCATTTTCCTAAGCATAAACAAAAAGCCTACAAAAAGCAACTGCCTCTGGTTCACCAGCACCAGCCACTTGGAACTGTTGCAGACCTAACAACCCTACAACCACAACTGGAAATTACACTGCAGAACAAGCTTTCAAACACCCCTATTTCACAAGCTCAGTGATGAGGACGTCCGGTCCCACAGGCGATTCTTGCACACTGAAACCCACCACGCACCATGCCAATAAAAAACCTCTTCCCAAAGCCATCATGCAGCCAGTTATGAAGCTGCTCCAAGCAATTTCTGCTCCTGACCAAGAATGGTTCAGCCAGTCACAAATAACGATCCGCCCAGTCACTCAAAAGTCTCAGATGTCCAGCCGGCACAAGCACTACCCTTTTCATCCAGAGAAAACGATGGAGGTCGAGATTGCAGAGTTTGGTGCATTCACTGGTGGTTAGAGTATGACACATCCACACTTGGCTGACTCGGGCTGACAGAGAACAAAAAGGGAAGACGAGATGGGAAAACCAAATCAGTCTAGGCAGAAGTAAGGTCTGACACAAAAGACGAACGGAAAGAACTAGAGAGGCCGTGATAACACTAATCACAAATGGAGGAAAAGGAAACGACCAGAGAGGCTGTGGAATGACCTGGAGAAAAAAGAACCATAGTCCACCTCGTTCAAGAAAAGGATTCTGCTGACGTATGCAGGTCGAACGAGCTGGATTTGACGAAACTCAGAACTTCGCTTTATATCAACTCATTGGAGTCGGATATCTAAGTCCGTATTGCGTCACTAGAATACCAAATCGGCAACTTTTCGCAGCCGCACAGGCTTGAAAATAAGTTAGGCAGGATGTTAGTTGATTGAAGCTTACCTCAGGAGGAGCATCTTTGTTGACCTTCGTCTTGTGGGGCTCCGGGAATGCCGGTACTCCTCCACCCGAGCTGACGTCTCTAAATTGTGCAGTGAACCCGCCTCCGCCCTTCTTGCCACCTCCCCCTGTTGGCGGCATCCCGCCCTCCGACTGAACCGTGAAATGTGAGAAATAAGAGAAATTTGATATTAGAGAGGACATGGGAGGATGGGTAGGAGGAAATACGCGACGGATTGGTACGAGTGGTGGAGGGAGGGGTGGGATAAAGGTGGACTCGAAGGCGAGACTTGTGAGTCACTTTGAAGGTATCATGCGGAGACGGAAGCGCGCGATGGAGAGGTGGTTCCCAAGAGAAGAACTCGGGGTACGGATGGTACAAGTGGAGGTACGAAAGGTTCAGATTGCAAAAACGAAGGGAAAAGAAATGGATAATGATGAGGACAGCAACACAACATGACAGAAGGACAGACTTTGGGCAAACTTGGAAGGAAGGAAAGACAGACTTCTGACAAAACTTGAAAGGACCAGCTTTCCAGGAGACGTGAGGGTATGGTAACTTATGGTTGTTGAACAGGTATTACTTAGAATGAAACCTACCGCCATGGCCTGGATGGGCCTTCAAAGTCAACGCGAAATGGAAGGTGTAGGTAACCCTAAAAAGCGTAGAAACACTACTAAACTACTTCGCAGCAACCACCCGAAATGGCGTAAACTACAACCTTCTGCCACCCAGCGCGATGAGCATCGGCAGATAAGATCACTACACGCGCCCGATACGAATATGTTGGAGCGAAATGTTCCACCAGAACGTAACCTAATGGTTTGTAGAGCAGAGCAGAAACAGCAAAACGCGCAAATGCATGATTCAGATGCAGAAGAGGTAGTCGTTGGAGCGTGGCTCCGGAAGGTTGGTGAAGGCGGAGAAGGGGAGGGAGCATGAGGGAAGTATGGGGGGAGAAGTGCGGGAAACTGGAGAGGGAGGCCCTAGTTATTCCCCCCAACCCGCACAACAAATCTTTCCGCCCGCCCTTCCTTCTGGAGCATCCTGTAAAACCCGCGGAGCCACCATCAGGCCTACACACGCAAGTGCGGAGAACGCTGGCACCGGGAGGAGAGGTGATGGCGGGTTGCGGAAGGCCCAGCGTGTGTAGGGGTTGGTGAGGTGAACGGACTTCTGGAGAAAGAGTACACTACTTTTCCACGTGTCGCGCGGTTACTGCATGTATGTTGCTGCGCCTTCCCGCTCTCTGCGACGTGCGCGACCACGACTTGAACTGCTGCTACGAGTCGCCCCGACCTCCAATGCACTTGCAGCCTCTGTACTAAAAAACGATTCGTGAGTGTGCAAACCGTTTTCGTAATAGCGATCAGGATAAAACAGATGGATGGCGGCTTATGTTACATGTCAATCAGTAAAACAAAAACGATTTTCTTACCCAACCAAACACAAGCAAGCTAGCTTCTAAAATACGGCACTCTGGGGACCGTCCGTTCCCCGTGGAGTGTTCGCCTCACTCTTCACCGCTTTCTTCCCTGAAAATCCCCCCATCACAGACTTCCTCCACCCAGTCTTGCTGCCTAATGTTCCCCGCCCTAATGTTCCCCGCCGACCCTTCCCTTCTCCCTCCGGTCTCTTCATGCGCAATGGAGCAGGGACCCCCATGGACGCCTTGAGTGAGGGAGGCGGAGTCCCTGCAGCTGAAGCAGGCCCGTGGATCGGCGTTGCGACCGCAGAGGACGGCCCTGATTGGCCCGCACTCATAAAATGCCTTATCGCACGGAGCTGGCCCGGGTGGAACTCTGCGATCTTGGCGAAAATGCCACTGTCTTCTCCTGGTGCTGTTGACAGAAGCCCTGAGGTGGGGATCGACGGCATACTCGCGCGATTACTGTCCGTATTGTAAGACGCGCTTCTTCCTGGAAACATCCTTGCAGCAGACGGACCAGCATCACTGGCAGCTGCACCAACAGCACCAGCAGCACCCGCAACAGCAGCAGCAGCTGCTGCAGCTGCAACAATCTCCCCCTCTTGACTCCTCCCTACCAGAGACGCCTCCCTCCATTTCCTCAGAGTGTCCGCCGCTTCCTCTTCAACCCGCTTTTTCCGAATCCGAGCCTCCTCCCTCCACTTCCGAACCTCGCCTTCCAGAGCATCCAAGGTTCGGCGAAGCGCCCGAACCTGCAGCCGAAGCTCCCCTTCCGCATCCTTAGCTGTCTTCAACTCTCCCTCAACCGCAGCCATCTTAGCAGACATCTCAGCCTCCATCTTCCCCTTCTCCACAACCACTCTGTCCTTCTCAGCTTCCGCAGCAGCAGCAGCCACTGCAGCCGCCGCCGCAGCCTCGGCCGCAGCAGCGGCTGCAGCAGCATCCTTGGCTCTCCGTTTCTCCTCGCCCTCCTTCCACTTACGTTCCAAGCTTCCTTGATTCACCCTGGCCCGCCATAGACTAGCAGCCAGCCGCACCGAGCCCCCAGTCTTGGCCTCTTCAGCTGCTGACCTCGCTGCTGCTTCTGACGCTCTCAACCCCTCCATCTCCCTCTGCACCGCTTCCAACTCCCCCTCCGCTGTGCCCGCACGTTCCCGAGCCTCAGCAGCTTCGGCCAGAGCTGTTTCCGCAGCTAGTCTAGCCTCGGCAGCCTCGGCCTGGGCCGCCTCTGCCGCCTGCTTAGCTTCTGCGGCTTCGGCTTGAGCCAATTCTGCACCCTCCTTCGCCCTTCCAGCTTCCAACTGTGCGTTAACTGCTGCCACTCGAGCCTCTTCCTCCCTCCCCTTCGCCTCTCCTTCTCGGCTCCTTGCTTCCTCTGCTGCTGCCTCTGCTGCCACAACCGCTGCTGCTGCTGCAGCTGCCACTGCCTCTGCTGCTCTCTGTGCTCTTTCCGCTGCTGCTTTCCCCGCCAGAGCCGCTTCTTTCTCTGCCAGAGCCTGCCGCATCTGCTTCTCCCCTCCCGCTGCCACTGCAGCAGACGACGCCAGTGCTGCTGTTACCCTTGTTTCCGCCTCCTCCTCCAGCTCTTTCACTCTATCCCTCTCCTTCCTCAACTCTTCATCAAGTTCTTTCACTCCATCCCTCTCCTTCCTCAACTCTTCATCAAGCTCTTTCACTCTATCCCTCTCCTTCCTCAACTCTTCATCAAGCTCTTTCACTCTCTCCCCCTCCTTCCTCAACTCTTCCTCCATTCTCTCCCTCTCCTCCTCAAGCTTATCCCTCTCCCCCTGTACCCCATCTCTCTCCCTTTCTAATCGATCCCGTTCCTCCTCCAGATCCGCAATCCTACCGGCCAGTTTAACTCCTGCTGCCTCCAATCCACTCCTTCCCTCCTCCAAATCGCCCATCCTCTCTGTAAGCTGCCTCACTTGCTCCTCTAAAACGCCCTTCTCCTGCTCCATCTGACTCCGCAGCTCCTCCTTCTCCCTCTCAGCCTCCCCGACAGCCTCCTCCTTCTCTCTCCCCAACCGCTCCACCTCAGCCGCCCACTCCCCTCTCACCTTCTCCAGCTCCTCCTTACCCCTCTCCACCTCCTCCTCTCTCTCCTTCAACCTCCCTCTCAACCCCTCCATCTCCCCTTCCATTACCACCACCATCTCACTCCCTCTATTCGCTGCCATCCTCGCAGCCTCCCTCGCCTCCTCCTCTGCTTCCTTAGCCGCCGCCAACTCCTCCCTTAACCCCGTCTCCCTCTCCTCCACCTCCCTCCTCTCCCTCTCCAAACCCTCCATCGTTTCCAGAAGCTCTTGCACCTTCCTCTGTGCCTCTCCTTCAGACATCTTAGCGGATTCTTTCACAGCAGCTGCAGTAGCCGCAGCAGCAGCAGCAGCAGCAGCAGCTGCAGCCGCAGCAGCCTCCTTAGCCTCAGCACTGGCTCGAGCCTCTTTCAACTCTTCCTCAAGCCCCGCTACCCTCTCCTCTTTCTCCCAAACCTCCCCAGTCAACCGTTCCACATCGTTCTTCACCTGCCCAAGCTCTTCCTTCACCTGCCCGAGCTCCTCCTTCACCTGCCCCATCTCCCGCTCTTTTTCTCCCAGCTCCCCATCCTTAGCAGCCGCCGTCGCCACTGCTGCCGCCGACGCAGCAGCAGCCTCCGCCCTAGCAGCAGCCTCAGCTGCAAGAGCACCCTCCAAATCCTCCTCAGCCTCCTTCCTCCCCTCCTCACTCTCCTCCAACTCCCTCCTAACTCCCTCCAGCTCTCCTCTCATTTCTGCGAGAGTCTTTTGTGTCTCTTGCAGCTCCTCCCTTGTCTTTTCATGAGCATCTACCTCAGCAGCCAGCCCATGCTTGGTCCCATCCATCCCCTCTAAAAGCGTCTCCACTTTCTCTTTAAGCCGCTCGTTCTCTGCACTTAGTTCTTCCTTCTCACCCCTCTCCCTTGCCAAAGCCTCCTCTAGCTCCTTCCTCTCCCCCTCATTATTCTCCAGTTCCCCCTTTATAGTCACAATCTCTTCGTTAGCAGCATCAAGAGCTGCCTGGGTCTCCCCAACCACAGCCGCAGCCTCGTCCCGAGCCTGCTCCAGCTCACCCGCCCGCACCTCCGCAGCTACGGCCCGAGCCAACAGCTCCTTCTCCTTCCCCTCCGCCTCTCTCCTCCTCTCCTCCGCCTCCTCCCTCTCTCCCTCCAACTCCTTAACCGTCTGCTCATGCTTCTCCTGCCATCTCTTCACCTCTTCTTCCACACCCTCCTTGGCAGCTACCACCCCAGCCAGAGCAGCAGCATGGCTCACAGACAGAGCCTCTTTTTCCTGAGTCAATCTCTCCATGTCTCCCTTCAATCCCTCTCTTTCCTTCTCCAGCTGTTCTATCTCCCCCCTTGCCTTCCCCACTTCCTCCTCCCGCTCGCTTTTCTCCTTCGCCACTCCTTCCAGCTCGGCCCGAACCTCCGCCAGCTCCGCTTCCCGAGCCTCTGTTGCAGCTTCGGCAGCTCCAAGGTCGGCAACCGCAGCGGCGAGCTTTCCTATAAGCTCTCCGTTCTCTTTCTTGGAAGATTCCAACTCCCCCTTCAACCCCTCAACCGTCCTTTGTGTCTGCTCGAGTTCAGCTGTCAAAGCCTCTTCTCTCTTCTTTCCCTCCTCCTCTCTCTTCCTCCCCTCCTCCTCTCTCTTCTTCCCCTCGTCCCTCTCCTCCCTCACCCTGTTTATTTCCTCCACCAGCCCCCCTGCCTCTCCAGACTTACTCTCTAAATCGCTCTTCATCGCATTGTACTGCTCATTCAGTGCCTCGTGGTCTTTCTTCAGGGAATCATGCGTGGCAGTCAGCGCTTCCAGCTCAGCACTATAGCCAGCCAGGTCAGAATACGATTCTGCCAGCTCAGCAGCTACAGCCGCCCGTCCCTCCTTCTCCTCCTCAAGCTCACTCATCAACCCTTCCTTCGCTATAGTCACCTCCTCAATCTTGACTGCCAGAGCTGCCTGCGCTGCCGCCAGCGCAGCGCATTTTGAAGTCAGATTTTCGTTGGCTGACTTCAGCTCCTCGTGCTCTGACATCAGCGCTTGGTGCTCTGACGTCAGCACCTCATGCTTCCCCTTCAGCTCTCCCAGTTCCTCCTCCCTTCCCCCCAACTCCCCCCTCACCTGCTTCACCTCCTCTTCCAACAAACCCTTCGCTTTAGTCACCTCCTCTATCTCCTTTACTCTCTGCTCCAGCTCTCCCTGTGCTGCTGCCAACTGACTCTCAACCGCCTCCCTTGCCGCAATCTCCTCCTTCCACATTCGCTCTGTCTCCGCCTTTTCGAATTCCGCTGCCTCCCTCCCCATCCCCATCTCCTCCATCCTCCCGTCCATCTCCTCTATCCTCTCATGCAACTCCTCCCTCTCCCCTCTCACCTCCTCTAACTCCCTCCTCACCTCATCTCTCTCCTTCACCAATTCATCCCTCTCCCTCCTCACACTCTCAAGCTCCTTCTCACTCTCCTCCCTCCCTCCTCTCTCCCTCTCCACCTCCTTCTCTAACCCCCTCACCTTCTCCTCCAAACCCCTAACCTTCTCCCCCAAAACAGCCACCTCCCCAGTCGCGACCGCAAGCGCCCCTTCAGCCACGCTCTTCCCCGTCCTCTCCTCCTCCACCTCCTTTTCCAGCCCCTCAACCCTCTCCCTCAGTTCCCCCATCTCCCCATTAGCCGCAGCCAAAGACGCCTCTACCTCCCCCTTCCCCTTCCTCTCCTCCTCCACCGCTCCCTTCAAACCTTCAATCTCCTTCCCCTGCTCGTCTAACCGCTGCTGTAGCTCGTCCTCCCTTTGCTGCATTTCCTCCACCCTCTGCTTTAGCTCTACCACCTGTCCATCTCTCTCCACCACCTTCTCCCTCAGATCTTCCCCTTCCTTCACCGCTTCTCTAACAGCTGCTTCCTTTGCCTGTAATTCCTCCTCCTTCGTCCGAATTTCCTCGTCCTTCTCCCGTATCTCCTCCTCTTTCGCCCTTCTAACCTCCTCCAACTCCTGCCCCAGCTCCTCATGCTTCCCCTTCCACTCCTCCGCCTCCCCCCTCGCCTCCTCATTCCTCCCTTCCTCTCCCCTCTCTTTCAACTTCCCCAACTCCCCCTCCGCCTCCTCAACCCTCGCTTTCAGCTTCCCTACTTCCTCCTCTGCCTCCCCTTTCTCTCCTCTCAACCCTTCCAATTCACTCTTCAACCCCTCCACTTCCCTCTGCAGCTTCTCGTCCCCGTCCTCCATATCATGCAACTCGATATTCGTCTTATCATGCAGCTGCTGCAGTTGCTCCAGCTCCCGCCCTTGCTCCTCGCACTTGCCTCTCATACCCTCCATCTGCTCTTCCAATTCCCCCTTCTCTTTCGCCAATACCTCTAGTTCTTCCCCCCTGGCCTCCCACTCCCCCTTAACCGTTCCCAACTCCTCCGTTACCTCTTTGTTCTCACCCCTTAGGGACTCTATCTCCTTTTTCAGCCTTTCTAGCTCCTCACACGTCCCTTTATGCTTCCCTTGTAGCCCCTCCAACTCGTTACAAGCCTCCTCGTGTTTCGTTTTAAGCTCATCCAGATCCTTTTCCGCCTCGGCAGCCCCTTTCCGAACCCTTTCCACCTCTTCCCTCGCTTCCTCCAGCTCGCCACGTGTCACCTTGTGATTCGCCTCTTCCTCACTCAGCTGCCCGGAAACCTTCTCATTCTCCGACTCAGCAACCAACAGCTCCGCTTCCTTCGCCGCCAGGGCAGCCTGGGCAGCTCCCAGCTCAGCCGTCAAAACTTCCGCGGCTGCCCTGAGAGACTCGACCTCAGCCTTCAACGGAGCCACCTGCCCGTCCTCAATATCTTTCAAAGCTGCCCGAATTGCTTCTTCTGTCTTGGCCGCCTGTTCCTCCTCCATCTTCTTCCTCATCTTAACTTTGGCAGACTCAAAGGATGCCATCTCCTTCTCCATTGCCGCCAGTGCAAGCTGACAGGTGTAGACGAAAGGGAGGCGTGGGGCGGAAGGGGGGGGAGAGGGGACAGACTCGAAGGATGCCATCTCCTTCTCCATAGCAGCCAGTGCAAGCTGAGCGACGTAGGCGAGAGAATCTGACCAAAACGAAAGAAAAACACGAAAGAAAGAAAGAGAGGGAAATGGGTGGGCGGGCAGGGAGGGGGGAGAGGGGGGTGGGGGGAGGAAGGGAAGGGGAAGAGCGGGAGGGGTCGGATGAGGCTGAGGCTGTGACAGAGCGCCAACCTCCAGCGTTTGGAACTTGCGTGCTTGCACTCGCACATCCCCCCATGCACTGCGTGCTCCTCTTGCGGCGTCTCAGACGCAGCACCTCACTCGCCCTTGTTCCCAGTCTCCTATTGGGGTGCTTCAACACGCATCTCAACACGTGCCTTACACCTGCCTAACACGCATCTCAACACGTGCCTTACACGCGCCTAACACGAACCCTGGACCACCCTCCTCCGCGCTCACCTGCAGGCTCTTGTTGCGCTGCTCCCTCTCCAAGTGCCGCGCCTTCACCGCCCACTCATCCACCCCTCATCCGAACCTAAACCAGCCCTAATCCGAGCCTACTCCGAGCCTGATGAGTCACCTGCAGGCTCTTGTTGCGTTGCTCGCTGATGACGATCTCCTCCTCCTCCACCTTGAGGCGGCTGACCTTCTCCATGTGCCGCGCCTTCAACGCCCCTCACCCACCCTAATGCCGAGCCTGATCCGAGCCTGATCCGAGCCTAATCCGAGCCTAACACCCCGCGCACCTGCAGGCTCTTGTTGCACTGCTCGCTAATGACGATCTCCTCCTCCAAAACCTTGAGCCTTCAGTGCCCCTCACCTCAACCACCCTTATTCCGACCCCACTCCGAGCCTAATCCGAGCCTGATTGAGTCACCTGCAAACTCTTGTTGCGCTGCTCGCTGATGACGATCTCCTCCTCCACCACCTTGAGCCGGCTGACCTTCTCCATGTGCCGCGCCTTCAGCGCCGCCAGCTCGAAGTTACTCAGCTCCAGGTCCTCCTCGAACTTGTGCAGCATCGTTTCCATCTGAAAGGAGGAGAAGGGTGGGGTTGCAGTCGAGAAAGAAAGGTGAAATTCCGTTCCGCGTGATTGATTTTCCAGGTTAATGCCACACATATCGAAAGCACAAACTCACAGAATGGTGCATTCTCTTCGTGCTTACATGCATGATCCAGGCCGGCACTACCTTACGGATTTCATCTCGCGTGTAGTTCCCGCCCGGGGAAAACGACCGTTGAGTTGGCGACGACTTCGCAGCAGCAGCCTTGGCGGACGAGCCTGGGGAAGGCAAGCCTAGCGGCTCAGGCTCGGCACCCGCGCGGCTTTTCGCCTTGGTTCGGGAATCCCGAGGCGATTCCTTCGTCCCATCCCTGACGGAACCAGAGGAGCCTCCCACAGGCGGAGAATCCTTCACCCCAACGGATACGTCTTTTCTCGCTGCGACTGAATCCTTGTTTCCAGCAGATGATCCGGCCGTCGTGTGACGTAGCTTAACCTGAGGCAAAAAGGACGAGGAAGACGACGAGGAGGATGATGGACCTTTCGCGCTATCGCCTGACGATGGTCGTGGCCCTTTAGCCGCGCTAGACCCAATCGGCCTGAGCCCTAAGCGGCCAGGTGCCGGCCCTTTGGCTTCCTGCTTCACATCTCCCTTAATATCGTCTTTAAAGTCTCTGGGTTCTGACGCGTTTCCGTCGTAAGACTGCGGACTAGCAAACCCGCCTGACGGATGGCGGATCAGACCTTCCGTGCTGACAACCGGTCCAGAGGACCGCCGCGTGATTTTCGGAAGGTCGCCGGAGGAGCCAGCGCTCGCATTGGCTGCGTGGAGTTTCGCCACGTAAGCAGCGGGAGCTCCTTTATTAGCCGTGACTCGTTTACCGAAGATGCTGCTGAGCTCCTTTACAGACTTGTTGCTCGGCTCGTCTGGATCCGACGACATTGTGACGTGATTGAATAATTAGGTTTTTCAAAACGGAGGAAACGATGAAATAAACAAACACGCAAACAAGAAAGCACACAGGAAAAACTACTAGGCCTGCACAGGGAGCTTCATAAGCTGGAGGACAAGCATAGGAGAAGTTTCCGAGAACGAAAGTGCAATTCTATCCGAAACCGTCGCGCCCGTACACTACGATGCTATGACTACCAAGCGTCTGTCTCGGCACAAGAAGTCAACGAAACAAACAGTGTCATGAGGACAAGGTGATCTAAAACGAAAATCGCACACACGACCGACAATACCACAGCTGAGCCAAGCCACTGTCGTGGCACCTATATCTGCACTGCTGCTACTGCAGCAAGCAAGAAGAAACCTTTCACAGCAGCAGCATAGGTACTGCAACACCTCCTGGGATCTTGTTTCAACACTGGAAGTGGCCGTGTTGTGCTGCAACGGTGATGCTGTTTATTGTTGGTTTCTGTGCTATTTGATGCGGTGGGGTGGGTATATTCTTCGCTCCCTTCTGGCATAAGAACTGCGACATTACCGTTACGGTTGTGAAACCATTGCCGAATAAAACGCGGCAAACCGATCTGCACCTGAGGGTATGCTGGTTAAAACCAGGCTCATCAGGTTTCCTCTTGCGTGGGGATTGGATGAGAGCAAGTTATGAGTCATATTTTCGCGGGAACTGCTGGCAAAAGCTATGTACCAATACAGTGATTCCTCGATTCCCGTCCCGAGATGTGTGACTAGACAGAAGGTCATCTGGTTCGCTTCACTCACTGGGATGATGGCGCGGAATTTGGGACCAGTCACCGCCAGGTCGAGGAGCCTAGCGGGCGGGATGTGTTTGAAATTTCTGGGATTCCTGCTCACGCCAGTGCCGTGCGGGTGATGTGATGCCATGAGCTGACCACCCCCGCTCGCATCTCTCAAGAGTCGAGAGGCCGCACCACACGCACCGCCACGTTTCCAACTTGTCAGAGACGCTGTTCGGAGAAATGCTTCTGCAGACAACCCTGCCGTCCGGTGCTGGCCTTTCGTTACGACTTGTCAGTGACGTGAAGAAATGCTTTGACATTTATAATCAAAAGGAATATGATGCAACATTTGCAATTTGAAAATGAAGCATCAACTACATAAGCTACAGAAGGCACACATCGTGCCTATAATATATTCCCTTTCCACTCGGAAGTCAAGTTAACAACTATCTTGCCATTTCATGGCTCGACGAACCTAACTCAACAACTATTTTACGTCATAGAGCACCTTTACTCATGCGGCACTTCAACTCGTGCGAGGACCCTCCTCGAACTGTGACAAACGACTGTTTAATCCTATGCCTTGTTAGCATCGCCATCGGTCTCCTCCGGTGCAAACATGTCCAGCACACCAGACCAGTCCCGCTTCTCCCGGCGCTCCCAGTAACCCCCGGTGTACCGCCACGTGTTGTTAGGCCCTGAGGGCTTGAACCACCGTGGGCCCCACCCTGGTTCCCCGTCTTTGAGCGCCTGAATTGAGAGGGTTATGAGGGGGGCCATATGGTTGTAAATATTAAAAAAAGGACCCGCTTCCTTCCCCGACCGCGAGGGGTGGCAAAAAGAGTGGGAAAGCACAAGAAAGTGGGTAAAAGAAAGGGGTTAGAGGGCTTGGTGATTGAAATCACGTATCGGTGCAACAAAGCAGTGTAGTCCTGGGCACGTGATGCACCTTGCGCTGGTGCTGCTCCAGGCGGCACTTCTCCTAATTGGCAAAGTGTGTTTCGGGTCGACTCAAAGCACACCTAGACAGTAGCATGCCTGTGCACAGTATGCGACGCACCTCGCGATGGCTCTGCTCCAGGCGGCACTTCTCCTGGTTGGCAAAGTGTGTTTCGGGTCGACTCATAACACACCTACAGAGTAGCATACCTGGGCACGAGCCTCACCTCGCGATGGCGCTGCTCCAGGCGGCACTTCTCCTGGTTGGCAAAGTGTGTTGCGGGTCGACTCATAACACACCTACAGAGTAGCATACCTGGGCACGAGCCTCACCTCGCGATGGCGCTGCTCCAGGCGGCACTTCTCCTGGTTGGCAAAGTGTGTTTCGGGTCGACTCATAACACACCTACAGAGTAGCATACCTGGGCACGAGCCTCACCTTGCGCTGGCGCTGCTCCAGGCGGCACTTCTCCTGGTTGGCAAAGTCGTACCGCCCCTCCTCCAGCGCCCTCTGATCCTCCCTCAGCCGCGAGTCCGTGGGGGGCAGACACCCCTGCCGAGGGAGGAAGAAGAGAGGGAGAGTAAGAATGAATGGAAGATAGGTCTAGAGGCGCCTCAGAAATTGTTGTCCCCTGGGGCACAGAAAAGCCCGCGGGGTGCCAACAGGCCTGCAGGGTGCAGAAGGGAGGGGTGAGAAGGGGGGGGCGGGGGGGGGGGGGAGGAGGGGTGAACTGATAGAACCGCAGAAAACAACTCACCTTCTGCAGATAAGTTGGTTATAGGCACCTGGCACATCATGTTAAAAAGACACATCAAAACTCGATCCAGGCCAAGCCACAACCTCCCCACCACCCCCGTTCCCCCTCCCCCGCGACTCACTCACTTTCAGTGTGGGAATGAGGTTGTTGGACGTGAACTTGTAGCAGGTGGTTTTGGAGAGTTCTCTTAGAGGAGAATTCTCAAAGGAGAACTCTCGAAGGAGAATTCCCAAAGGAGAGTTCTCAGAGGAAAGTTCTCAAAGACCAAGGACGGGGGACACACACGCGCCGACCCACTGACCTTGAGCGAGGGAGTGAGCTCGTTGAGTGTGATTGTAAAGGGCGTGAACTTGTACTTGGTGTTGGGCGGCACGGGGTTTTTCTTCCAGATGAGCTGCGCCGTGGCCAGCACCTCGCTCTCCTCCTTGGCTGTCTTGCTCGTCAGGTCCCCCGGCACGTAGTGCATGTGCTGGTCCCACCTCCCCATCAGCGTCCCCTGCTCGTCCCCTGCCTCGTTCTGCACCAGCCCCCGCACCTGGGGGGGTGGACGGGAGAGGGGACGGGTGGGGAAGGGAGGGGTGACATGGAAGCAAGGGAGGAATGAGTTTGTCAGGTCTCCTCCCCTCCCTCCTCCCTTAAACGTAGTGCATGTGCTGGTCCCACCGCCCCATCAGCGTCCCCTGCTTGTCCCCTGCCTCGTTTTGCAGGGTTTAGGGCACCTGGAGGGGTTGAAGGAAGAGTGGAGGGAACATGGAAAGGAGGAACGAATACAGGGCTGGGATGAGTGGAAAGGCTATTTTCAGTTCCCTTCCCACACCTCCATCTCCCCCGGCACGTAGTGCATGTGTTGGTCCCACCCCCACATCAGCATCCCCTGCTCGTCCCCTGCCTCATTGCTCCCCGGTGTGGTTTGTTCCCATTTCTGATGCGGGTTGCTCTCGAACCTAGCGTCTGTCTTTCCCGTACCTGGTACATCTTGTGAAGATTGTTACCTAGTGGGGATTCCTATCGAAGGTGGAGCGCTCTTTGAAGCGCAGGCGGGCAGAGTACCCGCGGTTGCCCTCGATGCGCATCGTGCCGTAGTGCTCCCTGATGCCCGTGACTCAAGACCTCACAACCTCACATCATCAGTGCCGTAGTACATACTCTTGATCATGCGATTCCGTGTGCATCTGTGTGCTGCAGCTGGTGCAGCTTGTTCGGAAGTCCCAATTGATCCCGTACCTGGTGCGGGTTCCTGTCAAAGGTGGAGCGCTCTTTGAAGCGCAGGCGGGCAGAGTAGCCGCGGTTGCCCTTGATGCGCATGGTGCCGTAGTGCTCCACGAAGGGCTTCCCCAGAATGAGGTTCTGAATCAGCACCGTCACCTGATGGGGCATGGGGGGAGAAGGATGGGAAAGGGCAGTCCGGATGGTCAATCCTCAAAATTGAATAAAAAGACATCAACATACACTCCTGGAACTCACATCATCCCACTCGTGCATCTTCCTATCATCAAGCTCCAGTCAGCTCCCTCACTGCATCCACCTGGATAAACGGCCCTCACAATCAAATCCCAACGTCACAGTAACCCTGAAAATGGATCAACATGCACTCATATAACTTCGGCAAAAGTGAATACTAAAGTGTAACTCACATTGCTCCACTCGTACGTCTCCCCGTCGTCAAACTGCACAGTCAGCACGCCCACAGGGTCCAGCTGGATGGACGGCCCCCAGAATCGAATCTTGGGGCACACGTCGCCCCAGAACTTCCACCCTGTGCCGTCGACGTGCCAGGCTATCATTGGCGGATAGTGCACCACCTGGGGAAAGGCGAGGAGGGGTGGGAGTGGGATGAGAAAGGCAGGGATGGATGGAGAAGGTGAGGAGAAGAAAGGGGTGAAGAGGAGGGAAAAGAGATATATGTAACGCATTGTCCACATGTCAGGCTATCATTGGTGGATGGTGCACTACCTGGGGAAACGTGTGGAAAGGTGGGCTTGAAATGAGCGGAAGTGGGGAAGGGGGATGCGGGGGAAGGGGGGAGATGATGGGAATCCTCACAACTCAGAGATGTAACTCAATGACTCGGAGATGTAACGCACCGATTTTGAGATGTAACGGATGCCCTTGTCAGGGTAGTCCCCTTCGGTGGTCTCCCCCAGCAGCGGATTGAAGGGCTTGTGCACGCGCCCCTCGTTGCCTGAATACAACTTATGTCCGACTCGCATCCCGGGTACCTACTCACCAAGTCGGAGATGAAACTCGCTAAGGAGGACATGTAACTCAGTGACTCCAATATGTAACTCACCGACTCGGAGATGTAACGGATGCCTTTGTCGGGATAGTCCCCTTCGGTGGTCTCCCCCAGGAGCGGGTTGAAGGGCTTGTGCATGCGCCCATCGTTGCCTGAGTATCGTGACACTGCGAATGCTGCCACATGTGCTGCTCTCATCAACCGGTTGCCCTGCTTGTGAGGGAGGGAGAGCGGCGGCGGGAGAAAAGAAAGGGTTGAAGGGTTTGTGCATGCGCCCATCGTTGCCTGAGTATCGTGACACTGCAAACGCCGCCACATGTGCTACTCGCATCAACCGGTTGCCCTGCTTGTGAGGGAGAGGGAGGAGGGAAGAGGGAGGAGAGAGGAGATGGTGGAAAGTGGTTTTTTATTTCTGCATGTGCCTTTTATAACTGAAACTGCACCACGTGTGCTGCTTGCATCAACTAGTTATCATGCTTGGGAGGGGAAGGGGAGAGAGCAGGGAGATGGAAATGTTTGAATAGTCCTGCAGACTCGAGTACTCAAAGCATATCATGGTACTCGTTCCAAGTTTCAACTCAACCCAACGCAACCGGACCAACCCAACATAACCCACCAAACCAGCCCAGCCAAACCCAACCCAGGCAAACCCAACCCAACCAAACAGAACCATGACTCATCCTCCGGCCATAGCCATGAGTACTCCAGCATTTCCAGGTATTTTTTTGTTCCAAGTCGCAAATCAACCCAACCCAACCAACCCAACCCAACCAAAACCAACCAGCCTAATTAGAACTCACCCTCCGGCCATACTCCGCCGCCCGGTCGAGCAGCCACGAGTATTCAAGCATCTCCAGGTATTTCTGGCTCGAGCTGAGCGGCTCGTTGAAGCTAACGGGCAGCGAGACCTTGAACATGTCCTTGCCCATGCACTCCTTGAGCACGGACCACAGGCTCAGCGGCTTCTCCTCCTCCTCCGGGTCGGGCAGCTTCACTCGCCTTGGTACGTGCGGGTAGCTGAACCCCACCTGGAAAGAAGGGGGGGGAGTGACGCCGTGAGGGGGAGACGGGGGGAGGCAGGGAGGCAGGGAGGCAGGGCAGCAGGGAGGGAGGGAGGGGGGGAAAGGAGGGGCATAAGGGGCCGGGTGTGGTGGGTGGGAGTGGAGGGGCAGCGAGACCTTGAACATGTCCTTGAGCACGGACCACAGGCTCGCCCCTAGCAGAGCTCACCTCCTCGATATCCAGCACGCGTTTCACCATGCCCTGCCCTGCCAACTCCGTCATCGCCTTGTACAACTCATCGTTACAAGCGCTGTCCGTGTCCCCCTCGTCTCTCTCGTCTCCCGATTCACCTCGTCCCCCTCATCTCCCCCCTTTCCCCTCCCGGCAGCTCACCTCCTCGATATCCAGCACGCGTTTAACCATGCCCTGTCCAGCAAACTCCGTCATGGCCTCGTAAAACTCGTCATTACAGTCACTGTCCGTGTCCCCCTCGTCCTCGTCCGTATCCCGCACCGTCGACGTCAGCCGCGGCTGCTTCCGCGCCCTGCCGCCCCCGCCAACGGCCAGCGCGCCCGGGTCGTCGTCCCCCTCGTCGTCCCCATCGTCGTCGTTGAACGTGCTGTCTGCATCGTCGTCCTCTTCGCCCACTGGTGGGTGTAGAGAGTGGAGGATGGAGAGGGGACGGCAATGACAGGGCACAAAGGCAATGTGTTTAGCAATGAAGCAGTCGGAGGGTGGGGGGGAGGAATGTGAGGGGAATGGTGTGGGTGGGGGGGAGGAATGTGAGGGGAATGGTGAGGGTGGGTATTGAGAGGGGGAATGAGGAGGAGAGGGGAGAGAAATGGGATAGAGTGGAGCGACGGTTACGAGGGCGGGAGGGGGGGATGGAGGGAGGGAGAGGAATTTGCACACGTAAGCATCTTGCACACAAGAGCAGGGAATCAACACACTAGAGGGACAAATATGCATACGACACAGTAAAAATTACATTGCCATGCACTCACGTAGCATGGCGCTGCTGCTGGGTTGGCCCTGCTGCCTCTTCTCGTCCACCACCGCCGTTTCCAGCTCCACCTTCTCCGCCTGCAATCACCACATTCCGCCATTGTCACATCAGCCATTGTCACATCTGCAGTGTCACATTCCGCCATTGTCACATCAGCCATTGTCACATCTGCAGTGTTACATTCCGCCATTGTCACCCCCAACCATTGGGCACGTGGCACAAGTCATCACGTGGTAAATGCAATCATGCAGCACAAAGTCCTTGCTCCACTGCAGCACCTCCCATCTCCCCCTCCCACCCATTTCCTCTCCCCCTCGTGACCCACCTCGAGTTGCCGCAGCAGCGTCAGCAGCTGCAACCGCTTCCTCTGCTCCTCCCGTAACTTAGTCTCGAGCCGCACCACCACCTTCCTCCGAACTAGCTCCTCAACGCCGCTTATAATCTCCTCTTCCACCCCGTTCCGCTGCATGTACGTCCTAACCGCGTCGAAGCACACGTGCGACGACACGTCCACCTTATTCGGCGCCGCGTGGAGCCTCTTAATTAGGTTCACGCGCGCGTTTTCTATGGCTTCCATCCAAAGCGACCGCCCCGCTTTGGATTCCGTTCTAAGACCCAGCGTTCTGTGCCCGAACACGTAAAACTTTCGGTTGTCCGTCGTGCTTGCGCGGATGGTTGACACGTGGAGCTCGATCTGCCCGTGCGGCGTTCTGTCGCCCAGCACGCCCAGCGACGTCGCCAGCACGCCGTTTTCGCGCTCGATTCGCACGTAGCGACGAATCTCGTCGCCGATCAGTCGCGCGCCTGGCCGCCGCTGCAGCTCGTGAAGCACGATGGCCTTATCTGGACCGTCCAATTTGAAGAAGGACAGAGCGCCCTGGAGGAAGGGGAACGGGTTGGGGGGAAAAGGAGGCGAGGGGGAGGGTATGAGGGCGGTAAAGGTGGGCGGAAGAAGGGTAATGGGGGACAGAAGAAGGGTTGGGGGGGGCGGAGTTGGGGGGACGAGAAACGACGCAAAACCAAGAGAGAGAACGGAAGAAAGGGACAGAACAGAAGAACGGGCCGTCAAGAGAGCTTACCCCTTCTAGGACAAAGAGTCGCATGCCCCAGCCACGCCCGAGATTCACCCACTTCCACAGTATCCCCATAACCACGTCGGAGCTCTCTTGCGCCATTGCCGCGGGAACCATTAACCCCCCCGCTCCGCCCCGCGCCTGGTTCAGCATCTCCCCCCACCCTCCGCCAACGGGGACCAGCGCAAGCGCGTTTCCGTGCGCCGCCACGTCTTCGCCCTTACTTGCGCTCCGCACAAGCCCCGTCTCCCCGCGCAAGCTTCCGCTTCCGCTACGGGGGAGGATTTCCGCGCGGCCCTCCGACCGTCCGCTGCTTGTGCGCGATGCAGGCTGATTCACACCGCTGGTCTGCTTTCTCACTTCTCCGCCGTCGATCGAGCATCTAGCGGATGCTCCTCGATCCTCCGCAATCGCTGCCGCCTCCGGCGCTCCTCGCCCCTCTATTTGCTGCTCCTCTGCCCCGCTGTCTCTCTTTCTCGGATCATAAGGGGACGACATTCGCGACCTACTGCGATGGGGACTGTTACCTCTGCGATTCGTAGGGTTACCAGCAGCAGTCGAAACGTCAACCGGAACTGTGGTGGTAACATCCTCGCTGCATACTTGTAAATTTGCTTCGTTGCTGGGCGTGGAGGGATTTTCCTTGCTTCGCCGGCGAAACGGATTTCCTAAGCGAAAATGCGACATTCCTAATTCCGGAGTGCTCGCGGTCTCAGAGATGCTCTCATGTTGCCGGTCAGCCGTCCGAGTTACCGGCCGGTAGGCAGAAAAGTCAACGGCGCCGGTGATAGAGCTGGTGGAGGCTGTCGCAGCGGTGAACGCAGTGGACGCTGACCGGCTAGCCGACAAAATTGGATGAGGATTGGACTTTTCCTGACGGTTTCTTGACGACCGAAGGCGACCAGCCGACAGCATGAATATACTTTCCACTGATCTTCTGCCGGGAGAACCGAGCATGGCTGGGGGAGCGTCAGAAACGGGTGCGGTTCTCGGAGGTGCTTCAGACTGCGAAAACGAATGGGAGCGGCGGAGGAAAGGTTTGGTGCCATCGGAAGGGGTTGACGCTGACGGTATCGGCAACGGTGACGGCGATGACGATTTTCGTTGAGGTGAGGAGCCGGCTTTTCTGCGGCGGAGGAGCGGACTGGGCATTCGCCGCGGTTTGACGTCCTCATCTGGGGGAAGGGGGTCCACCCTCGCCATGGCTACTCGGCCGCTGTACGGGTGTTCTAAACGGTCAGAAATAATCTTGGCGGTCAGAATTCTTTGGTGTTACTTATGTCAACACTCTTGGACGGCTGATAATCCTAGAGGGAATGGGGGGAGGTGAAGAGGGGGGATTAGCTAAGTCAAGGTGTTTTACAGGTGGAATTAGATTCTGTACTACCGAGTGGCATTCGCGTCTCGGAAGGACAGGTATAGGGAGATTTTGATTGTCTCCATTGATCCGTAATTGCTGCACTAGGAGTAGAATCTTGTGCCGTAAGACCTGGCACAGCTCAGCCTCGCACTAACTTCATGACTACGTTAATCCCAACGTTGGGGGTTACTAATGCTGAACGCCAGTTTCGAGATAAACGGAGATGCGAGGATGGCTTTACAGAACCGTCTCGTGGTGGGTCGTGGTATTGCGCTATGGATTCCTTGAAATGTGCTGTGGGCGTGTGCTGGCTATGTGCCCTGGATAATCTCCCTCAGCAGCCTGTTGACCAGCTTCCATGACAAAATCGAGGGAACGAGCCGTGGTGATTGAGAAAGGAAGGGTTGAGGGTGAGAATGGGGGGTTGATGGACAGGAGGTGAGTAGCGAGAGAGGGAGGAGGGGAGTGTGTGCTGTGAGGTCAGCAGGATGGGGAAGAAACGGAGGGGATGGACAGGAGAGGGAAAGGGCAGGGCAGGGGAGCAAAGCGACTGGGAGACTCCCGAGGGAATTTTGGCGTCATCGGAACCAGAAACTATTTTGTGCGATGCTTGTGCGAAGGTACTGCTTGTCTGAGACAGCAGCGAAAGCGAGCCGAGGGGTGCTGCTGGGGAGGAGAAAGTGTCGCATGGGCCAGGAGTGTGGCAAACGGGAAAGGACATGCGACGGGGTCGCCATCGCAGGGCCAAGAGCTGAAATGTTTCAAGCCTGGCGATGCGAGCTAGAGAGAGAGGAATTCCGCATTTCTCGAATTGGTGGAGGTCGTCGAGCGTATGGATTGGCCAGCGAAACTGCGCGAAACTGCAGGTTGAGGTCGGGGCTCGGGCAGGTGAAACTGCAACATCGAGGCGCACCGCTAATCGGTTTGATGCGAAGTGGCATTTCGAGTCGCTCTTCCACGACATTGAAAAATTCTCCAGTTCCCGCGCCTATTTGGCTCAAGGTGAGACGCGACGCCGCCTTTCTCGATTTTTCTGACGAGCAACGGATACACCAAGTGATATCAATCAAAGCCGGCCTGATAAATGTTCGTTTGGGGTCAATTGCTGAATGGAAACGCCCAAAATCAAAATTACACGCACCAACTCTTTTTTATTGTCTGACAAGCAAATATTCAACAAATATATTTCACATTACTGCACTCATTACAACAAGCAGATGCTTACGCCCTTCTGGTGAAAGCTGTAAGCTGCCACTCAGGCAACCCACCATCATGTCTGGCCTACATAACGCATGAATGGCACCTTTGCTTACTTTCCCACCTTGAACATAAAAGTAGCCCAGTTAGCCTCGTTAGTGCGCTCCTTACCCGAAACATATTGCACTGTGGCCCAAGCACTGCCCTGTGGATCTACACTAATCGATTGAGTCTCACCAAAAGCAGCATACTTCCCAGACAAAACCTCAAGTGGGGCTTGGCCGGGCCCAACGGCGAATATACTATTACCAATAACTCCTTTTTGATTTATGCGGACATAAGCCGCTGTAGGGAAGTACTCAGAGCCAATCAGCGTCGCTGCAAGAATGCCCCTGCCCTTGCTGGGGGTGACGTAAAGACAAAGTAGGGAAGCAGGCGGAAAGAAGGTGAGGGAAGGCAAGCTCATGTTTCGAGAGAGGGGAGAGCAAAAGAAACACAAACCATATCACAAACCAAGACACAAGTCATGTGCTTCCTCTGCTGCTGTTTCAAGGAGAAGGGTAACGAACACTTTGCTAACCAGAAAAGAGCTTGAAACCACATGTGCATGAGAAGACAAGGAGTGCTTACAATCCCTCACTAACCTGTTGAAGCCAATCACAGGGCTCAGCAGGCTCTGCCCCGGCACTCCATAAATCCCGAACTTCTTCACCAGGGTTGGAAACGACCTCTTCCCCCGCAGGAACGGCTGAAGCTTCACCAGCGCTACAGACGGCACCGAGGTCGGGTCCAAGCTGTAGCCGGACGGAAACGCCATCCACACGTGCCCCTTGAACCACGCTACAGACGTGGACGTCGGAGGAACCACATCCTGGGGAGTATCATACGGTGCCGGCCCGGCCTTCTGCTTGGCATAGTCTGAATCATAATACGCGGGAGTGTTGATGATAGAGTAGCGGAGCCGGAGGGTGGGGTGTGGGAGCATGAGGGAGGAGGTATCGGAGAGGGACCAGAGGGCGAGGGAGGTGTGGGGGAGGGGGAAGGTGAAGGAGATGTCGATGCAGCCAAAGAAGACTGTGTCCTGCCCGCGGTAACGGGAGAGGCGGGGGACTCGGGGGGACTGCGGCTCGAGGCCGAAGACAGGGAAGCTGTTGTAGTTGATCATGGGGATGGCGAAGCGCACCACCCGCTTGGATGAGCGCAGGTAGAGCTTGGGCTTGTGTATCGCACTGGGAGGTGGGGTGGGGTGGGGTGGGGTGGGGGGCGGGGGAGGAGGGGTGGGGAAGAGCGGAGGTGGGGGAAAGGGGGAGAAGGGAGAGGAGGTTGAGGGCGCAATTTTGGTGGGAGGGGATAAAGGTTTTGGCTGGGTGAGCAGGAGGTTGAATTTGCTGCAAATTGTGAATGCTTTTTCTGTCGTCTCCCTCCACTCCATTCCCTCCCCCTCTCCCCCCCCACCCCGTCCCCTGTCCTCCTCCCTCCCCTAGATTCACATTGCTATTTAGCCCCTTTAAATCAGCATCCTGAACTCACTATATGTTGCTGCCCACGAAGCGCCCCAGCTTCCCCTGCATGGCATACTGCCGCGTGGTGAGGTACACTCCGTAACGGTCCACCGTGATGCGAGGGGTGGCCCCCCAGTAGACCCTGCCGGGGTATCTCAGCGGCGGGGCTGTGTCGTTGTGAGACTTTACCCCGTCGTTGCTGTGGGAGGGCGGGGCGGGCGCAGGGGCACAGATAGGGGAACTTGAGTAGAGTGATGCGTGGCGTGGCTCCCCAGTAGACCCTGCCGGGGTATCTGAGAGGCAGGGATGTGTCGTTGTGCGACTTTACTCCGTCGTTGCTGTGGGAGGGTGGAGTGCAGCAGGGGCGGGCGCAGCAGGGATGGATGGATGGATGGAGGGGAGCGGAATAGGAGGGGTGTGTGGTGAGGTGCACGGAGGGGTGTGTGGTGAGGTGCACGCCAAAGCGGTCCACAGGGTGAGGGCGGAGTGGGAGCAGGGATGCGGGACAGAGGGGAAGACACAAAGATGAAAGGGGAAGGCACAGAGATGAAAGGGAAAGGCACAGATGAAAGGGGAAGGCACAGAGATGAAAGTGGAAGGCACAGAGATGAAAGGGAAAGGCACAGAGATGAAAGGGGAAGGCACAGAGATGAAAGGGGAAGGCACAGAGATGAAAGGGGAAGGCACAGAGATAAAAGGGAAAGGCACAGAGATGAAAGGGGAAGGCACAGAGATGAAAGGGGAAGGCACAGAGATGAAAGGGGAAGGCACAGAGATGAAAGGGGAAGGCACAGAGATGAAAGGGGAAGGCACAGAGATGAAAGGGGAAGGCACAAAGATGAAAGGGGAAGGCACAGAGATGAAAGGGGAAGGCACAGAGATGAAAGGGGAAGGCACAGAGATGAAAGGGGAAGGCACAAAGATGAAAGGGGAAGGCACAGAGATGAAAGGGGAAGGCACAGAGATGAAAGGGGAAGGCACAGAGATGAAAGGGGAAGGCACAGAGATGAAAGGGGAAGGCACAGAGATGAAAGGGGAAGGCACAGAGATGAAAGGGGAAGGCACAGAGATGAAAGGGGAAGGCACAGAGATGAAAGGGGAAGGCACAGAGATGAAAGGGGAAGGCACAAAGATGAAAGGGGAAGGCACAGAGATGAAAGGGGAAGGCACAGAGATGAAAGGGGAAGGCACAGAGATGAAAGGGGAAGGCACAGAGATGAAGGGGTCCCTGGGGGTCGCAATGTTCTCTACCCATACTCAAGCATATCAATTACCTGGCAGGAATGAAGAAGACATTCCATGCCATCATGGGCGTGAGGAAGGAGGAGGAGGGCACCACAATTTAAGTGCCGATGAGGATACCACATCCCTACTCACACCAGCATAACAACTGGGGGGAGGGCATTCATACCTGGAAGGAATGAAGAAGACGTTCCAGGCCATCATGGGCGTGAGGAAGGAGGAGGCGGCCACCACGATCCCATACCCCGACGTGCTCCCATCCGCGTTCCTCCTCGTCTGCCCAAACCGGTCCCACTTGTTGCGATACCCACCCGACTGGGAAGGGCAGGGGAAGTATGAAGGTTGGGTGGGAGGGAGGGAAGGAGGGGAAGGATTGAGTGATGTATATCTTCAGTTGAGAGGGGGAAAAATAGGCAAGACACGGGTGGCACAGTGGAAGGAAGGAGGAGCTGGTAACTGATCAGGCAGGCAGGTAACACCCCCTCTTTTTGGAAAGAAAGGAGGGTGAAGAGAGCGAGGAGGGGCGGAGAAAGAGAGCACTCTCGAGCCATGCAGCTGCGAGGAAGAAGCGGCCTGAGGAGGCGTCAAAGACGCACGTGGCCTTGTTGATCAAGTCAGGCAGGTGATCCCCCTCTTAATGAGAAAGAGAGAAGGGTGGATGAGAGCGAGATGGTGAGAAAGGTCACTCACGAGCCATGCAGCAGCGAGGAAGAACCGGCCTGACGAGGCGTCAAAGACGCACGTGGCTTTGTTTATGAAGTCGCCTGGGCGGGTGGAGTTGGCCGGCATCACTCCAAAGAACTGGAGGGGGTGGGGAGAGGAGTGTGGGGGGGCGAAGGGGTGGGCGGAGGGGCGAGGCGATGGGTGTCGGGAAGTCCCCTGGGCGGGTGGAGTTGGCCGGCATCACTCCAAAGAACTGGGGGAGGGTGGAGAGAGGAAGGGGGGGTGTGGGGGGTTGGGAGGGTGGGGTTGTGTGAGTGGCGTGAGGGAGCGAAGGCGGAGGGCTCATGGGTGCGATGAAGTCGCCTGGGCGGGTGGGGTTGGCTGGCATCATTCCGAAGATCTGCGCGAGAGGGGGATGGGGGAGGGAGGAGAGGCGGGAGGGGGAGGGGCGGGAGAGATTGGTGAACGGTGTTCTTGTTGGGAGTGGAGCGGGGGAGTGGTGGTGGAGGAGGGGAAGGGGAGGGCGGCACGCCACAATGACAGGAGAATGGGGCATGGGCAGTGGGGCATGGGTAATGGGGCATGGGTAGTGGGGCATGGGTAGTGGGGCATGGGTAATGGGGCATGGGTAATGGGGCATGGGTAATGGGGCATGGGAATGGGGCATGGGTAGTGGGGCATGGGTAGTGGGGCATGGGTAGTGGGGCATGGGTAGTGAGGCATGGGTAGTGGGGCATGGGTAGTCGGGCATGGGTAATGGGGCATGGGTAATGGGGCATGGGTAATGGTGAATGGGTAATGGGGCATGGGAATGGGGCATGGGTAATGGTGCATGGGTCATGGGGCATGGTAAATGGGGCATGGGTAATGGGGCATTGGAATGGGGCATGGGCAATGGGGAACGGGTAATGGGGCATGGCCGCATGGGGATGGGGTATGCGGAATGAGAAACGGAGGGCAATGGGGCATGGGGAATGGGAAACGAGGGATTGGGGAAACGAGGGATTGGGGAAACGAGGGATTGGGGAAACGAGGGGAAACGGGGCACGGGTAGTGGAGGATGGGACATGGGGCATCGGGAAAGGCAGCACACAGCGCTGGGGCAGCAAGGCAGCAGTGTGCATAGCATACCTCGTTGAGTGGTTGGGGCAGGCGAACTATCTTGCCTCGCTTGTTGTATATCACAATGGCTGCAGCACAAGCAACAAGTGCAGAGCAATAAATGGCAAGGGTCATGCTGAGGGACAAATGAAGCAATAAATGCAACAGTGTTGGCTACGCCGGCGTGGAGGGCAGAAGGGCTAAAACGATATGGAGCTGAGCCTGATAGGAGTGAACAAAAGGAAACCCGCTTTTTTCTAAAAAACCGACAATGGACCAGAGTCAGGTGGTATAGGACGAAGATTGCGCAGCGAAGGTGAAACGTGTTCCAGGGAAGGTGAAACGTGTTCCGGGGAAGGTGAAACGTGTTCCAGGGAAGGTGAAACGTGTTCCAGCGAAGGTGAAACGTGTTCCAGGGAAGGTGAAACGTGTTCCAGGGAAGTTGAAACGTGTTCCAGGGAAGGTGAAACGTGTTCCAGGGAAGGTGAAACGTGTTCCAGCGAAGGTGAAACGTGTTCCAGGGAAGGTGAAACGTGTTCCAGCGAAGGTGAAACGTGTTCCAGGGAAGGTGAAACGTGTTCCAGGGAAGGTGAAACGTGTTCCAGGGAAGGTGAAACGTGTTCCAGGGAAGGTGAAACGTGTTCCAGGGAAGGTCAAACGTGTTCCAGGGAAGGTGAAACGTGTTCCAGGGAAGGTGAAACGTGTTCCAGGGAAGGTGAAACGTGTTCCAGGGAACCACGCTTCCATTCTTCTTTTAACATTATGTCACCTGCAAAGCACCGGACTGCATCTCTCAACACCGCACTGCATCGCTCACCGTAGTTGACGATCTGTACAATGTAGAGCCTTCCAACGCACACAGCAGAGTCGGGAATCCACGGGTCGAACTGCGAGGGACGAGGAGAGAGGGAGGTGAGGAGAGGGAAGTGGGGAGAGGAAAGAGGGAGGAACCGAGGAATCATGAAGGGCATGAGATTTTGTTCATAAACGGCAAGACTGGACTGTTGATGAATTTTTGCAATGCCGCTGCACACCCTTCCCAGTGTTTTACTGTATAAGGTTCATCTGCAGCACCTGTCTCAGCACCGTGGTACTGCTCCTGACTCAATTGCATGTCGCTCCTATCTCACCAGAACCTCGCTCATGTCTGGTGCCGTCCCTGTCTCACCTGAGTGCCGAACCTGTCTCACCTGAGTGCCGAACCTGCCTCACCTGAGTGCCGATCCTGCCTCACCTGAGTGCCGAACCTGCCTCACCTGAGTGCCACTGTAAGCACGGTTCACGCCGGCCACAAGCTGCCGTTTTCCACAGATGAGATGAGAGGCATTGGTGTGGAAAGCGAATATCGCTGTACATCACACCTGCAGTCCCGCTCAAGTATCGCTCCTGTCTCAGCAGAACCTCGCTCCTGTCTCAGCAGAACCTCGCTCCTGTCTTAGCAGAACCTCGCTCCTGTCTCAGCAGAACCTCGCTCCTGTCTTAGCAGAACCTCGCTCCTGTCTTAGCAGAACCTCGCTCCTGTCTTAGCAGAACCTCGCTCCTGTCTTAGCAGAACCTCGTTCCTGTCTTAGCAGAACCTCGTTCCTGTCTTAGCAGAACCTCGTTCCTGTCTTAGCAGAACCTCGCTCCTGTCTTAGCAAAACCTCGCTCCTGTCTTAGCAGAACCTCGCTCCGGTCTTAGCAGAACCTCGCTCCTGTCTTAGCAGAACCTCGCTCCTGTCTTAGCAGAACCTCGTTCCTGTCTTAGCAGAACCTCGTTCCTGTCTTAGCAGAACCTCGTTCCTGCCTTAGCAGAACCTCGTTCCTGTCTTAGCAGAACCTCGTTCCTGTCTTACCAGAACCTCGTTCCTGTCTTAGCAGAACCTCGCTCTTGTCTTAGCAGAACCTCGCTCCTGTCTTAGCAGAACCTCGCTCCTGTCTTAGCAGAACCTCGCTCTTGTCTTAGCAGAACCTCACTCTTGTCTTAGCAGAACCTCGCTCCTGACTTAGCAAAACCTCGCTCCTGTCTTAGCAGAACCTCGCTCCTGTCTTAGCAGAACCTCGCTCTTGTCTTAGCAGAACCTCACTCTTGTCTTAGCAGAACCTCGCTCCTGACTTAGCAGAACCTCGCTCCTGTCTTAGCAGAACCTCGCTCCTGTCTTAGCAGAACCTCGCTCCTGTCTTAGCAGAACCTCGTTCCTGTCTTAGCAGAACCTCGTTCCTGTCTTAGCAGAACCTCGTTCCTGTCTTAGCAAAACCTCGTTCCTGTCTTAGCAGAACCTCGTTCTTGTCTTAGCAGAACCTCGCTCCTGTCTTAGCAGAACCTCGCTCCTGTCTTAGCAGAACCTCGCTCCTGGGTGATACTCACCGCCTGGGTGATACTCCTGTCTCACCGCCTGGGTGATACTCCTGTCTCACCGCCTGGGTGATACTCCTGTCTCACCGCCTGGGTGATACTCCTGTCTCACCGCCTGGGTCATACTCCTGTCTCACCGCCTGGGTGATACTCCCGTCTCACCGCCTGGGTGATACTCCTGTCTCACCGCCTGGGTGACACTCCTGTCTCACCGCCTGGGTCATACTCCTGTCTCACCGCCTGGGTGATACTCCTGTCTCACCGCCTGGGTGATACTCCTGTCTCACCGCCTGGGTCATACTCCTGTCTCACCGCCTGGGTCATACTCCTGTCTCACTGCCTGGGTCATACTCCTGTCTCACCTGAGTACCGTTCCTGTCTTACCTGAGTGCCGCTGTAAGCGCGGTTCACGCCGGCCACCAGCTGCCGCTTCCCAGAGATGCCCTTAAAGCCCAGCTTCGGCCGGCTGTCAAGCACGCCCAAGGGCGTGGCGTCGGTGTACTGTACCGCCGGCGTTACTGTACCCGTGCCTGCCGTTCTTAACGCGCTGTTCTGTAGCGGGGACAAATACACAGGGGTCACGAAACCTGGAAGTATCAGGAGCAAACTCGGTGTAAGGGAAACAGCGAGATTGGTTGAGTCAGAAGTACTCCTAATGCACGTCAAACGCATATTAAGCGCTTATAGAGGTATATGGAGTGTTTCAGTGATTGAGCGCTAGAGCGCGCATAGCCGGATGTTCGGTAGCCTCTGAAGACGCGAAGCCCGCACTCAGTAAGGCAGAGTATACGAAAAAAAAAAAATGTTTTAAGAAATTGCTGGACTGACATTGCGTGGAAGATAAATGTTCGATTGTTCGCCAAACTCGTTGGCTGCGACAGTGTTGGCCACGCCGGCGACGCCTGAAGCTTCTCCTGCGAACCGTCGCAGAGACGCTTCGCGAGCCTGGATTCGCTGCTCTAGATCGACGGTCAGGAGGTGTTCGTACAACCCCCGGGATCGACGCTGCTGTTCTCTCACCCGCCAGTTCTCTGTAGGCACCTTCTCCCTCTCCTCCACCTCCCCCTCCTCCACCGCCTCCCCAGGTATCGCCGAATCCTTTTGCTGCGCTGCTGCTTGTTTCACTCGCGTCTCCTGCTTCTTCTGCTGCTCTATTAATCGTTGAAGACCAGAAATGGGATTTGCTGACAGCAACGAGTGCTCCAGTTGTGATTTTATCGAAGGTTGACTGCCTGTCGAAGTTGACTCCGGCGACTGATTTTGACTCCTGGATTGCTGCTGCCATTTCACTGTACTTGGTCCTTTTAGCGATTGACCTTCTATCGGGGCGTTAACACGTGTTGCTGTGCCAGTGGACGGTGGAGGAGGTATGACGTTCTTTAAACGAGCGGTTCCCGCAAAAATAAGACGGTCGGAAAACCGATAAAACGATACCCTATCGCAGTCACAGGGATCAGCTGTGAAACATAAAAACGTTAGCGCTAGGAAAACCCACACTCTAGTTCGCAAAGCTGGAGCCATCAAATGCAATGAAAACGCGTGAGGAAGACGAGGTTCGCCAAAGCGGATGGCTTAAGGGAACTCATTAGTCCACTCCTGTTCGTCAAATTTGCGAGCCAGAAACTAATAAACACCATACTCTACCGTGCGTCTAGCTCAAAACTCAGCTTCGGCCATTACGACACCAATACCGTAGCCACGCTGGCAATAAGCGCTTGATGAAGAGCTGAAAGAAGTGGTCTGCTCCAATGGGGAAAATGGCGACCTAGAAAATGCCGGACCTCCCCTCATCTTGCAGCGTTGCTCGGTTTTGAGAGCTGTTGTTTGGAAGAAGAGTCCAGAACAACAAAAGCATGCCCTGGGGTTGGTTGGGGAAAACTGTACGCACTAGCGAAATGTGCGAAAAGAGAACGAGAAGTCCGACGAACCTCGTGTGTCTCGGTACCGACTGTGAAGGGAGAAGTGACAATTGACAGATCTCACCAACTCGGCAAGGTTGCTGCCCATGTTGGAAAGAGCACATTTCCGAAATCCTTGCCGGAACTGATGTCTCCTGCCCTTTTTCCCCTCATGCTGCAAGCACCATCCTAGGATCCCGACTGATGGCCCGACTTCACCGAGAACACTTTAAACAATTATTCAGACTTTACACCCAAATCAGAAAATGCACTTGCTTTCAACACATGTTTCCAGTCCTACAAGAGCAGGAATTCTACAAAATGTTCGTGCCCTGACCTTTCGCTCAAGGCACCCTGCCGTGCCCTCGCACCGCAGCCTACTCAAAGACACGTGGAACAACAACCCCTACTGCACGCCCAGAGTCTCATCGTACGAGCCTTGTGCTTGCACCGAATGCAATCCAACGGTCCACATAAAAAATGACTGATAGCTTCATGACTGACAGACAACATTCTCATGGGCATGTGCTGGTGGAAGGCATGCGAAGCAGAATTCTGGCAGCTACCAGATATTGTAGTTCGCTAACGCGGATACGGTAGCTGCAAATATGCTTCCATGTAAATTTGCATAACTGTATACATTGTGCAGTTTTTGGAGTGGGTGGGGCGCATGAGAGCATCTGGTAAAGTTAACACGCAGCAATCCATTAGACAGTACACTAACAGATCGGACAAAACATGCTTAATTACTACATCTTTGGACTCTACAGACGGGTGTTCTAACAGGACAGAAATGAGAATGCATTCAGATGTGTCCTTTTTTTGGGAATGTCAACCTTACACAGGTCCTCTGATGTCTCTTGAGTTACACCCAGGCGTAGAGATGCGCCAAACTCCAGTTTTTTGTCGCATACTGGATGAGGGCTCTCTGTCGGCTGCTCCCATGGCTGTAACATCACTCGAATGTAACCCTGCTGTAACTCCAAGGTTGGATTGCATGTACATGAGTCTGGCCAGCATAGCTGCTGCCTGAGGAGGGGTGAGGGCGAGGATAGGCGCGAGAAGGTGGCTAAAGTTTTTGGGTTGTACGGTGGCTCCGCTACCAGTAGCAAACGACGCCACATCAAGCAGTGCATCACTGAGATGCTCAAGGTTGGGAGGAGTGAGGTTCGAGAAGATTAGGTTTGGATGCACTTCATCAGTAGGCTTGGCATCGAGAGCTGTGATGATGGGTATCAAGGAGGTGAGCGGTGCAGCAGCCAACCAAGGCAACGACTTCGAGGCGACCAAGGAATGCACAGACGGTTGAGTGAAAGCAGAAGGTTCCGAAACATCTGCTGCTGCCGTCGAGAATGCCGATGCTGAGACCAGCGAGAGTGAGAGAGGCGGGATTGGAGGAGCCTCAGCAGCAGGACGAGAGGCACTAGCAGAAGCTGGGGCTTCTGAGGCAGGTATCAAGCCGGCGGAAGAGGAGGGTGTTACGGCAGTCAAAGCAGAGGGTGTTAGACTCAGAGATGCGGAAGCAGAGGCCAGGAGAAGGGAAACGTGAGACGGGGGCAGAAGAAACGTGGACGACAACGGTGGGGCACCACAGTCCTCCATACAAGCGCCCCCTCTTTCCTCTACAAGCTCGAGCTTGTGCGTACACATCCTTAACGGTCCATCCTCCTCCTGAAAATTAAAAGCAGGGGTTTTTGGAACCTCAAGCGGGCGGTTGGTTGCCGGCCCGACTGATGGGCTCTCACGATCCAACGTTGGGCTTGTTGACCTGCCCGTTACAATCACGCTGTTGTCGAGACTGGAGTTGTAACTGCCGCCACTGTGGTAACCACTGGAGTAACCACTTCGTTGATCATTGCCGCCGTAACAGTCCCCGTCGCTGCCGATTTTGCCCTGAGATTTAGGAGCCGCGGTTGGGTCAAAGCCCACAGAGACGTGGGACGGGCGGGCGAGAGTCTGAATTCACCGTCGGAGAAAGATCGCCGCATCCGCTTGCTCCGCTGCTGCTTCTGCTTCTGCTGCTGCTGCTGCACTTGCTGCGGCGGCGGTTGTTGTGCTTGCTGCGGCGGCTTCTGCTGCTGCCTTTGTTGCCGCAAGGGCTGCATCTTCAGAGACTGGGGCTCGCCCGCCATTCCTGCGTCAGAAGTAGCGGCCCCTGCCGCCGCTGGCGGTGGTGTTTCCGCCGTCAGCTGCTTCCCCTTACGCCGGCCGGAGCCCACGCGGACGTTGCGCAGACACCCGCCGGCGGTCCAGTAGCGGTGACAGGCGCGGCAGAAATGGCGCGGCTGGTTCACATTGTAGTTGTTGTAATAGCAAAATTTGGTGGCGCGGCTCGAGCACCGCGGGCACGCCAGCGCCGCCGGCACTGGCGCCGGAGCCTGCGGCGGCGACAGCGCCGGCGGAAGCGGGGGAGCTGACGGCGGGAGTTGCGCGGGCCGCTTTGATGGATGGTGCGATTTTGTCGCCGCTGGAAAGTCGGGGGTAAGTTGATCACCATCATGATGCACAGTGGTGGTTCGTCCCGTGGCGGCACTAGCAAGGGATGGTAATGTGGCAATGTTTCCCGCGTCGCTGTCAGAAGGCGCAGCGTTATCATGTCGAGCGTCGCTCGGCGACGAAGAGCCCGTCGACGGAGCACCCGACGGCACGAATTGTTCTGACGCCAAATCGTTAGCCGTTGGCTTTTGAATCGTCCGTCCGAATAGCCGGAACTCGTTAACTTCTTCCCTGGGGAGTATCATACTGGCCGATGCTTGGGAAGGGCTCGGCTCGGCGGAAAGGTAAAGAATCATGTTTCAGGACACAACCACATGCGCTGTCGCAGTGGTAGCTAGTTACCTAGGTACGAGGCAGACGGGAATTTAGTTTTCCGTAAGTGAAGTTTGAAGAATCAGGTGCGTTTTTGTCACTCAGGAAACTCAACGAAGAATTGTGAAAGGCCAACAGGACGGTGGCGAAAAAGGCTAGGACCTCGGACTGACTAATGGGCTGACTCAACGCTGCCGTACGCCTTTATCTGCTGCGAGAAAGGACGGCTTGAAAGTGGGAGGATGTTGATTTTGTGGAGGTTGAGTTGACTCAGGAAACGCAGCAACATGATACTATACGTGAATTTGAGCATTTTTTACTCGCCTCTCGAACTTCTCATGAAATTGCGATTATGGTTCCTCCCGATGCGACAATGCAGCGCTGGGCCGAAGCTAGCCACAAGCATGCATGCATGCAGTAATGCGGGCACACATAAAGACGCCTGATACAATCAGATGCAGTACATGCAGCTTGAATGCGTGATCGACTGCGTTCTGGTCCTGCGAAAAGGTAAGGCTAGCAACGCACTGAGTGTATCTTGGAACAGAAGGAAGCGCAGCGAAGGCAAGAATAGTCCCACAAAAGGAGTTGATTTTGCCCCATTCACGTGCTTGCTGCTCTCCTCGCCACTCACCTGCATTCAACGTGGGTGCAATCAAATGTCGCATTGGGGCTGAACTGAATGCGTCTCGAACCAGAGAAATTCACGGCTCGGGGAGGGGCTTTGCTTTCCGACAGCATGTGAGGAGTTGAGGTGATCCATAAAAATCTGTGCGACGGAAAGGATGACGTGGATTTTGCCTGGCAGGAGGCTCCCCGCCGCAAATGAACGTGGCGCCGGAATGG